TTATGAGTACCATCTGAATAATCTCATATCGTGTTCCTTTCAGGATTGTCAACGCTTGAATACAACAACATGCTAAAGTGGTTTATCGAGAGACAAGTAGACATCATAAATGATGGCGAGCCATTAGCTTCTTTCAGAAATCTCGCCGAGTGTCCGGTTCAGGTAAGCCCCTCCTCAAGCATTTCATTGTTTTATTATGATACATAACTAAAGCACCAGTGTTGACTTGTGTGCCAGAACTACCGCAATAGTTCGTTAATTAAACACACGTGTTATTATCCCCTGAACATATGTTCTCAAGTTACCAGTTTGTCTTGGCCTTCCTATGTTGGTTTATTTTTACTCTGTTGTAATTGGCTTATGCTGTGTTACATTGGGACAATGCAGCAACAGACAACGTATTTATGGAAAGCGGAAGAATAACTGTTGTGACGATTATTCTCGTATTTTTGGGAATTACAGGTAGTGTTCTTTGATATCTGTACATAGAGAATCTCACCAGAGTGTCTTTTGATATCAAATATATCAACACGAGTTGATAAGAGTGGAAAAATTCCGAGGCTTGCCGAGGATTTTTGCCACTTTTATCAACGAGTTTTATCTATTTGATATCAAAAGACACGAGGGTGAGATTTTATTCATCATCCAACATCATTCTTCCAACTTTTTCAATTTGTAGACAGTAATTAGCAGTGTTTTCAGTGTAAAAAGTACTGCTAACAGCTTCAGTAGCAGAGCCATTAGTGATGTCATTTGATTGTGACGTCATGATAACTGGTGACGTCAGAATGGTCTGCAAAGCATTGTGATGTGATTTCATTGCAGCGATATCTACAGTGTAGATATCGCTTGATCTCACCCAAGCGATATCTCCTGTTGGAGACAGTTTTGGATGAGGAATAATAATTTATTACCCACGTGGTGAAGATACAGGTGGTAAGATACTAAATCCGTACGTCACACGTGTGTCGTACAAGGTTGACCTTGTTTTATTCGTTTTGATTGGATAACCGTGACCTCTGTCACACCGGGACTACTTTTTTCATTCATAAAGAATCGCGAGACGTCATTCATTTTGCGATTACAAGGCAGAACTGAAGAAATTCATGAGAACGAGAGATATATTAAACCAAACAAGATAGTCACACGCATCAAATCCGGTTTGCATTCTATATAAGTTATGCATAGAGCTTCTACAGACATATAATCGAGCTAGATCTATGAATCGATTTACAATGTACGACTGCCGATCGAGCGCGTCCCTTGAGCGTTACGCACCCGACCAATTTCGCAACTTTCAATTTGATTTAACGTAAAAGGATAAGCGTGTTGAAATGAAGTCTGTTTAAACTATCTGGACAGATATCGAGACTTACTTGGGATGATCCGGTTGTGCCATCGGTGTCCCCTTTGAAGCGTATTTTGTGACGCTATTTCGGGAGGTGTTGTTCATGAATGAACGAACACGACAGCACGACCAGATCACTTAAAGTTCACAGTTCCGATACATCATTCGAAAACTCCGTTGAGTGTGCCTGACTTCTGATTTTGTTGCCCCAAACATCCCAAATGTGAACAATAACATTCCCTATCTCTAGCGTAAAACGCTGTGAGTGGATCGCGGTTGTCTTTTCTTGTTCCGGTGGCGACCTTGCCCTTCGATCGTTCGAAGCTGTCACTGACATGCAAGCAGATTTGAGTTTGTTGATTTTTACGTCTTCAGTATATAGGGTGGTACAGTTAACATGAATGTCTTTGGCGAACAGTCTGATTTCCCTCTTCCAAAATGGTACGGACATGATATAAATTCAGCTGATAGATCAAGGAAACCGAACCATTTTGATTGCACAGACGGGACCCCGGCAGTGTGACCGACTGTTGGTCCGATATTCATAAGCGCGGCGCTAATGTGACATTTCAAATGTTCTTATCGGTGTCCTGCGTACTAACAACATGGCGCTTGAATCACCATAAGTTGAAGACTTTCTTCCAAAAGGATTTGAGCGTCGGTGCTGGTTTGTTTGCAAACAGAACAGCAGGCGCATGTTGTTAATGCGTATGCATAAACATGTCAACAATGCCCATATTTGGTCATATATCAATATTGATGCGCAACCAGATTTTGCAACCGGTTTCAGTTTGGTCTGTCAACGAACGAAAGATGTTATGTATTTACACTTAAATATATATTTAACGTGGGTAATAAATAAAATGCCATACTCATTCTCTATATATGCATGGTTCCCTGTGTGAAGAAAATGTTCACTGTATGTTCATGAGGATTATTTTTCAAACCATTTCAGATGATATACATTGAACCAGCCAGCAACCATCGTATGTCTGGATATACCCAATTTTTCGATGTCGCCAGGGACTGTCAGCTTGTTGTCACACGAATGGAAAACCTGGATTCCTACACAGGAGTGTGCCAAGGAGACTAAAATCATACGAACATGTTACATCAAACTGATCAGATAATAATGTAAAATTATTAGATTGATTTAAAGACACAGGATTGTCCCTGATGAAGATGCGGAACAAATGCAATTTCTCTCACTGAATAAAAACATTAATTCCATCTGAATTTTATTTAATTTCAAGTACTTTGTACATGTGTATGTTACACTCCCGTGACGTACAGCTACAATTCAAACGTGATGCATCGTGATGATATTTCAAATTCTACAATAGTGCACATCACTAGCTTGAACTGCAGGAGCCGACAACATACATTATCAGCTCCTGAAAAACTTGCCAGAATCATGTATGGAAACAATGCTTTATATATTTGATGAAATATGGACACAGGAAATTTCTCACCTTCATGGCAAAATGCCATTATCATTTCCATACCAAAGACTGACCGGGGCCACAGTGATACATCCAGTTACGACCCGTGTAAGACGGGGTAGAATAGGTCTTCAGCAACCCATGCTTGCATTAAAAGGCGACTATGCTTGTCGTAAAAGGCGACTAACGGGATCGGGTGGTCAGGCTCGCTGATCTGGTTGATGCATGTCATCGATCCCAATTGCGTGGATCGATGATCATGATATCGATCACTGGATTGTCTGGTCCAGACTCGATTATTTACAGACCGCCGTCATATGGCTGGAATATTGTTGAGTGCGGCGTTAAACAACAAACAAACCAAACATCCAGTTACGGTCCAATATCATTAACTACCTGTGTAAAACCATGGCGCGCATGGTCAACAATCGAGTAGTCTGGTACTTTGTGACTAATAACCTGTATAACATCCAATGTGGTTTCCGAAAAAAACCCCAGAAGGACCATTTACCACTAGGTGCGTTTAGACCATTTATTAAAAATTCCATTGTCAACAAACAATATACTGTATCAATCTCTTTTTGTGAACAAGTTTAGTTGCGTCTCCGAAACAGAGTTGGCGAGGAAGTTGGAGTAGTGTCTATTGTAAACATGTATTAAGGCGATTAATTTGTTTTAATTATTTGTGCTTGCAAGTGAAAATTTGAGCATATTTGAATTTATTTCTTGTTTTTAGAAACCAAGGTGAAAATTAAGGTGCCGTTTTCGCTTTAGGGGAGCTTCCATTTTCGCTAATCGGTGCCTTTTTCGCTCGGTGCCGTTTTAGCTATAACCCAGCGATACGACTGACAGACGTCTAATTAACATTATCGGATATAACCTCCACATGTTTGTTTGTTTGTTTGATGTTTAACGCCGCACTCAGCAATAGTTCAGCTATATGACGGCAACATGAATATCGAATTTATTGTATATCCGTTTTTCATTAATAACAGTAAACAAAGGACTAGTTGGTTGGTTTGTTGTTTAACGCCGCACTCAGCAATATTCCAGCTATATGACGGCGATCTGTAAATAAACGAGTCTGGACCAGACAATCCGATGATTGACATCATGAGGATCTATCCACGCAATTGGGATACAATGAAATGTATCAACCAGTCAGCGAGGCTGACCACCCGACTCCCGATCCCGTCAGTCGCCTCTTACAACAAGCATAGTCGCCTTTTAAGGCAAGCATGGGTTGCTGAAGACCTATTCTACCCCTTTGGAAGAGCCAGGTGGCCAACTTGACCGAGATTTCTCGAATAAGAATCAAGACAAACATCTAGCTTCAAGTCACATATTTATCATACAATACATTACAAATTTACAAACATCCACGTGTGTACCAGCATATGAAATGTACAACATAATGATACGCGTTTCACATACAGATTGACAGTTATAACAAGATCAGTAGCACAAATACTCATCATCCACAATTGTCAAAACAAACAAATTTGTACACCAAAATCATAACATCTCTCAATTACTTCAGAAAACAGGCCATTTCCTTAAAACATTCAGCGTTTCTTTTGGTATGTCATGACTAAACCATATAAATGCATGGCATTAATATAATACATTATTATAACATTATATTATCATTAGAAAGAAGCGACGTCATCCTGATTGTTCTTTAAGCGGGTTAAGTCTGATACGTTGGTGTGTTACAATATCCCTGTGATTTTATGTTCCGATGTGATATTGGAACGTCTCAGTAACATCATGTAAAATCCGTGGCGGTCGGGTAGCCTAGTGGTTAAAGCGTTCGCTCGTCACGCCATGCCGAAGACCCAGGTTTGATTCCCGACATGGGTACAATGTGTGAAGTCCATTTCTGGTGTGCCCCGCCGTGATATTCCTGGAATATTGCTAAAAGCTGCGTAAAACCATACTCACTCACTCATGTAAAATCCAACGACAAATGTCTTCTTCATACTTCAGTGGCGCAAACATACAACATTCATATGTGTAGCCCTGTGAGTGTACCACTAAAAACTCCCAAGAGACGCTGAAAAATCTCAACTCTTTTAAGAACCACTCTTTCAAGGATATGTACACCGGCAACAGATATTTTACGCCTGTTTCCAAAGGTTCATGGAAAGTATGTTTGGAACATGAAATTGTTGATAAAGCATGTTTCATATTTGTCTTCCGGTTTAAATAAGATAAATCACTATCCCTCTGGTTCTTTTTTATATAAAATCCTCATCCTCGGGATAAATTCTTTGGGGCTAACATCCTCTTTTTAGATGAGGGCCGTGAAGCTCATAAAAACCTTTGGACTCTTTCATCCCACATATCACCCATAAATCATAACCACCTTTTCGTGTCATCGTTTCTTGCTTTCTACAGACACAACATAGGTTACATCTGTATGCATTCACCGACACAACATAGGTTACATCTGTATGCATTCACCTAAGTAGGGAGAGTGTGTCAAAGAATATACTTACCAATGTACAACAACTTCCAACCAGTTGGTCCAACTCTTCCTTGAACAAGGCTTTGTCTCAATATATGTGAAAAAAGATTCACAAATATCATAAATATAATAAATTAATGTTCAATTTTATATCATGATAGATGACAACATTTAACAATGAAAACATGTTTACTCAACTTCAGTGATGCCATCAGCTGGGCTGGGCTTGGTTTGATATCACCTTGAACAGTATTTCACTTATATGGCCAATATAACTTCAAGTGTCTTTGCAGAAACCTTTCAGGATTGTAGCATAATATTGCCTTGCCTTGATCTTCACATGAAACCATGTATTATAAGGGCTTTGAGTTAATGGGTAATATTGTGTTCTTAAACCTATTAATTTTGAGTATTATCAAATGTATGGATTTAATGCATTTTCTTAAATGACAGCTAAATTGTTTTAAATGAAATGTTATGACATTTGGCTATAAACTGAAGGGTTATCAATGATTAGATATTATTGATCTTAAGATTGTGGGTGCTTGCTTTCTGAAGTCCCCTTATCTTGAACCCCCTTTTCTTGAATTCCTATATCTTGAACCCCCTTATCTTGAGCCCCCATATCTTGAACCCTGTTATCTCGAATCCCCTTATCTTAAACCTCCTTATCTTGAACCCCCTTGTCTTGAATTCCTATATCTTGAACCCCCTTATCTTGAGCCCCCTTATCTTGAACCCCCTTTTCTTGAATTCCTATATCGCCAACCCCCTTATCTTGAGCCCCCTAATCTTGAAACCCCCTTATCTCGAATTCCTATATCATGAACCCCCTTATCTTGAACGTACCGATACCTCGAACCTATTCTCCGGTCCCGACTGCCTCACTATATAAACAAGGGACTGACAAAATAATTAAGGAACCGAAAGAAATTTGTTTCTTGTTGCCTTAAAAACAGAATTTGGTTCAATACAATCAACTGTTCATTCATCAGGAATAGCACGTGATGACTAGATATCAAGTTGCAAGAAGATAATGTGTGAAAACTATCAGGCCAACAAAACATCCATCCATTAAAAAAACAGGAATAAATACATGAAATAAAAAAATCATTCTGATTAATAAATAGCCATTTTGTTCAATACAGAATCACATGACAGATGGTAGGCTGACTTGTACCAGTGTGTTGGTTTTAAAGTCGTCAGTTTGAACAGTATTTCAGTTGTATCCCGGTATATCAGCTTAGTATGGGAGGATGGTACAAAGACGAGCACATCATCTATCTCGTGTTACAGCAAACCTGAAATGATGTGGACCACATGTATATGAATGTTAAGTAAATGTTGGCCACGAACAGGACATCCAGTAACAATACCACAACATAACGATCTGGTCTGTGAGTTGGGGTATGGCTGGCTCAGTCGTCTGAGGCACTGCAATTACCTGTGCATGGTTGTGTCCTTTGGGTATGCCAAAAGCCTATGATTGTGGGTTCAAATCCTGGTCCATCCTGATAATGTTTCTAAGTTTGTTAGCACCAAACTCATGCTCCTGGGTGTCAGCAAAGTGGTAAACATCAGACCTGCATCACATCAGGCTTTCCTCCCATAGTAAGCTGATATAACTGGAATACTGGTTCTATAATGAGTGAATGAGTGAGTATGGTTTTACACCGCTTTATGCAATATTTCAGCAATATCAGGGCAAGGGACACCAGAATTTGGCTTCACACATTTTACCCATATGGGAATCAAACCCGGGTCTTCGACTAATGATCAAACGCTTTAACCACTAGACTGCCCCTGTCTACACTGCCTAGTGGTTCAAGGGTTGCTTGTTACGCCGAAGACCCGGGTTTGATTCCCGACATGGGTACAATGTGTGAAGCCCATTTCTGGTGTCTGTGATATTGCTGGGATTATTGCTAAAAGCGACGTAAAACCTCACTCACTTACTGACTGGACAGTGTCAGCTGGCATGAAAGCTGAATGTGTCTCAGGTCAGAGTATTTAGCACTCACTCTGTTCATGGTGCAAAATCATGGATTCAAACCTACGAACACCAGATCCTGACATGGCTAAGGGACGCCATCCTGCACAGAGATTTGTCAACCCTAAAAGAATGCATCTTCTGTTCAAGTCCTTTCTCTCCTCACAAAGACTTTTTAGCATGGACAGACCTTTTCAATATTTGTATATAAAAATAACTGAAACAGCATCTCTAACTAAAACAAATGATATGTTTATGACGTGTGACCAGAGTTCCTTTCATTACCCCACGTATTGAAGATGTTTGACTTCATCGTGTTCTTTTGGCCTTCCTAATGAGGGTAACATAGGAAATCTGTCCCATTATGCCATGAGGTTTCCGACAGGAGTGAGTTCAACCCCAAATTGCAATTTGGAGACTGATGCTTTCAAGATTCATGTCTTCACGCCATGATGGTTCATCCCTGTTTGATGGCTGGACTGAGATCTGCGAAATAGCTGTGTAGAAGGCCTTCCTCGGCAGAGATCCGGCCGGCAGGGTTGCATACGAGAAGACACTGTGAGTAAATGCAAAAATTGTTAACCATGTGAATCTCAAATATATGTACCGTATTCAACGTAATAAGCGCCCAGCTCTAACAACCCCCCCCGGCAATATTTGCCAATACATTAGCTAGTGCACAATCCCAATTAGCACCCTTACCTTGATCAATGTACACAAGATTTATTTATTCATGTATAATACGCACTCGTGTGTTATATGCACCCTTAATTATGGGCAATAAATTTCTTGAATAATATATCTATCGTGTTTAATATGCACAGATTCTCCTTTTATATAATTTCAGGCTGTCAGCATAAACCACGAAATTTACAATCTTTCAACTGTTTTTTTCTCACCAAAATTATATTCTAATAAGAGCCCCTACGTCTAATTTTAAAAGTCCTGGGCACTTATTACGTCGAATACAGTAGCATGAATCTTAAGATTCATACTAATATCTATCCATCATGTAGTTACTTTATCAAAACGACCATATTTTTTTATTTTAATGGTGTGATGTGGTGTTTATTTAGAGATGCCAACCCTCTTCATCTTCCCAAGGCAAGGGAGTTAACTGACTATAAAACTCCTGTTTCCACCCTTGCCGAACTAGGCTGGAATTATGGAGTTATATTTTGGCTGGACTAACGAATCTGTGCATAGTCCAATCAAAATCCCATAGCGAAATCGACATCCGATTCATAAACTTCTGTGCAGACGATTGCAGAAATGTCAGGGCATATTTTTCAAATCTTTTAATGTTTTTAATCATGTGCTCAACTGGTTTGATGCATTTTGCGTGGGGGCGGTCGGATAGCCTAGTGGTTAAAGCCTTCGCTCGTCACGCTGAACACCCGGGTTTGATTCCCGACATGGGTACAATGTGTGAAGCCCATTTCTGGTGTCCCCTGCCGTGATATTGCTAGATCATTGCTGAAAGCGGCGTAAAACCAAACTCACTCACTCTGAAGTTTACTGAGGTGAGTTGCGGACTTACCTGTAAAAGATCTCTGCCCTTAGCATTGAGTTTGGGGACCACCTGCTGCCATGTGGTGGAGACGTGATACATAGGGAATGGCTGCAAGCAGAAACAGTGAGTGAGTGAGTCAAGAGACACACTGCTTTATGTGATGGATAAAACACGTCCAAGGGTTTATATGATATTTAAAACCTGCATCCACAGGATAAAACCAAGGAACATCAGACCCAAGGTATTATCCCAAGGGTATGTGTTTTAAATATCATAAAAACCCGCGGGAAGTGTTTTTATCTAACTTATAAAACGAAAAAGAAAAAGCATTTATCAACATTTTTTCAAACATTCTTTCCATGAACCTTAGGAAACGGGCGTAAAATATCTCTTGCTGGCGTACAGTACTAAAAAAGAGAGTCTGCGTATGAATTAATCACGACCAGTTCTGTCAATTTTATTTTGACGTAAAAAACACGCACAATTTCATTGGGATTTTTTATCGGTAAATGTTACTCACGGAAAATTCTCAGTGAATGTGTACTTCAACATAAATGTCATATGTCTATCACTGTTAGGACCTGTACTTGCCAATGATATGATTTATTGGACAATTAGATTTCAAACAAGGGCGCTTACTTGACTTAGCTTGCCATATTCGGGTGTGTCCATATTACGATTAATGTAGAACAGTAGGAAGCTTATAATACCAGCAGTGCATAGATCTTTTGGATTTGGTGACTTTAGATACTGATGGAAAGACAATCAACTGGAGTTGCATGTCATACAATTTGGTTACACTGTGTGAAGAAATAAAGATGTTGTAACACTTTTGATACAATGTATACATTTTTGAAACAGCAACGTCATCACAGTGCGGCACTGAGCAGTATGCAGGCTGACTGACGTCCAGGCACCATGAGGGTTAAAAGCATTGTGATTTATCAGCGCCTTGTAGTCTAGTGGTTCACTAACTTGGCTATAGATACGAAGGTTGTTGTGTGATCGATAATCGGGAACATAAAGAAAACATTTGTAATTTGATTTTCCATTTCATTACAGTGTGTTCAAATGTGAAATAGATTTCTAGCTAGAAACATTAATATGTTACAATCTAAATGGAAGTTGTATTGATAAAATTCCCGCGATATAATAAAAAATCTACAGTCATGGATTATTTTTTCAAACCCAGATTATTAACTTTCAGTTCAACAAGCAATGTGTTCCAGTTCAACGTTATAGTCTCATGTAAATCAATCAATCTCTTCAAAACAAGAAGTGCTACTGCTCCACCTAGATCTGAGGACATCCGATTCACGTCAGAAGTGTCCGAAAAAAATACTGCCTGCCACCTGCCCGTGGCTGGTAACTTTTCTGTCGGGCTGTAAGAAAGAAATTTTCTCCAGCTGCCTGACTGTCTGGCAGATAATTTTAAGACTACTTACGTATTCAATTTTATTATAACTCCTTGTAGATTCTCAAGAAATTGTTTGCATTATTTCAGATGAATCAAGACAGTATTACATCTCTAAGTTTTTGCGATATTTCAATATTTATAATATTCTGAATGCGGGCAGGCAACATTTATTGGTCACATGCTCGACTGTCTTGTTCGGTTTTAAAATTATTTCAAACACTGCGTCAGAACGACCCTTCACAAACTTTGACCGACCAATGCAGTGACTTTTAGGAAGTCAACATTATCCAATCAGAAACAACCTTCTCAAGCTATATGGCACTAATTTTGAAATGGTGACTCAAACTCCAGCACTGAAATTTATTGTGACAAAGCTCTTGATTCAAAATTTGAAAACTGAACAAAAGGATATCTAATAGTGAGTGTGAGTGAGTTGGGTTTAACGCCGCTTTTAACAGTATTCCAGTTATATCGCGGCGTGTCAGCTTAATGTGGGAGGAAAGCCCGAAGTGATGCAGGTCTTAGACGTTTACCACTTCGGTGAAACCCACGAGCACGGGTATGGTGCTGACAAACCTAGAAACATAATCGGGGCGAACCGGGATTCGAACCCACAATCATAGGTTTCTGGCATGCCCAAGGGATGCAACTCTGCACAGCGAATCGCGACAACTGGGCAACCCGTGCCCCCAGAAATCTAATAGATTGCGAGATTGTACAGCAGTATTTCCACAGGCTATGAAATGTCTCCCTTCTAAATATTTATCCCATTGAAGCAAGAGATGGACGATGTTTAGCAGAATCAGTTGCACAGCCCATAATAATCCTCAAAATGGCCTATGTTGACTTCTTCGAGGTTACATGATTAGAAAACACGTTTGGATTTTCACTTTCTCGATCTCTTAAGCGATGCTCTGATTGGTCGGGGTGAGTTGTAATGGGACGTCATCAGATCTTGGTGTAGCAGTAATGGGCACTACAGTTGTAGTTGCTAAATGTGTGGCCTATCATCTGCCTACCCTGTAGTTAGGCAGCTGTGTCATCTGTGGCCAGGTCTCCTCTGTCGGTGTTCCCAGTAATCTAGGTCAAGGTCAAGGACTGCATATTCCACAGTGGACTACAATGCACTTGGGTCCTACCTATCTTCCCGAGGCAAGTGTTGCCGAACTAGGCTGGAATTAGGGAGTTATATTTCGGCTGGACTAACGAGCCTATGCATAGTCCAATCAAAATCATGTAACGAAATCTACATCCATTCGGTCAACTGCAGGATTCGCAAAGGATGTGTACCGCCAACTCGCCGTCAACAGATAATTTGCAAATCATTTCAATGTTTTTAATCAAGGTGCTTATGTGTTTGATGCAATTCACGAAGTAAGACCCATTTTATTACAACATAGATCTTGATTATCAATTACATTGTCTTGACAGGGCGCCGCCATTTTGTTTGATGCAAATGCAAGTGGTATGAGAGTTGGAATCTGATTTGTTAAAAGGAGGGACATAGAAGGGACATAACCCGTAATCGACACAGGTGGAGCTACTATCGAGACCAGAAATTCCAGCCTAGTACGGTAAGGGTGGAAACCAGGCTGTTAGTCAGTTAACTACCTTGCCTCGGGAAGATGGGTCCTACCAGGTGGGTTTTAACTGATGGAACAGAAACAGCTCTGCAAACTTTTCTTATATAACACAAATATTGATATTTCTATACAATATTACCCGTGAAGATCCGGGTTAGAACAGGTCTTCAGCAACCCATACTTGCTGCAAAAGACGACTATGCTAAAAATAAGAGGCGACTAACAGGATTGGGTGGTCAGGCTTGCTGACTTGGTTGATGCATGTCATTGCATCCCAATTGTGTGGATCGATGCTTATGATATCAATCACTGGATTGTCTGGTCCAGACTCGATTATTTACCGACCGCCTTCATAGAGCTGGAATATTACTGAGTGTGGCATTAAACAAAAAACAAACAAACAAATCATACTCTCATCCAACATCATTGATGTGGCAACCAATCTGATGTTATAAAAATGTCAGGAATATTAAGTCACCACTTACAACCAGCATAGGTTGGTGAGGACAAATTCTATGACTATAAAGATTGCTGCACTTGCAAAAAACCATCGCAGATCAAGGATACTTGAAGATTCTCTTCAGTTGATCTTCATCATCATTTCCTGGGAAGAGCGGCCGACCAGCATTCGCCAACTCTGGAATTGAGTCATATGATGGATAAGTCAGTGATGAGCGACTGAGGGGTATGCTTTCATGTAATTTGAGCAATATTCCAGCCATATTTCAGCAATATCCCAATGGTGGACTGTCCTCCAAGAATGGGCTTCACATAAGCAAGTGAACAAGACAATCCTGACACATCCCAGCAACCCAGAAATAAAAAAATGGAAGATGAAATTTATTGATGAAATGAACAGTTTTTTTAAGAAATATTACAACACTGAAATACAGTATATGTGACCAACCAGGAGAAAAAGAGACCTTATGGGTACTAGGATACAATTGTGCTATGACGTCATAACGACGTTTGACGTCAACATACTTCAGTGAAGATCGAAATGGGTGATGTCATGTATCTCTGTACTAAATATGAATTGAAGCTTGTGATTTGTATAATGGTGTTCCAAAGATGCTGTAGTTTTAAAATATAATGAAAGGTCAAAATGTGATTTTTCACCCAGGAGGTCCCTTGTCTCATGGTGGGTCACATATAACAAATAGAATACTCCAACTGTCAGGCAGGTAGCAGGTTGTCTCATTACATGAATATTATCATTTATACTCTACTCTTGACAGTAGACTCTTTTCCTGGTATTTGGAAAGAAAATATGACTATACTCTACTTAACACATCAATAATGAACCAAAAGACTTTATTATTAACTGCCAAGTTTGTTTGTTTATTGTTTAACACAGCACTCAGCAATATTCCAGCTATATGACGGCGGTCTGTAAATGATCGAGTCTGGACCAGACAATCCGGTGATTAACAGTCAAGTCAGCGATACCTGCATTATTACCTACGAGGGCAAACATATCGGGGTACATAAAAATCATATGTGCCCAAGGGTCATATCACGTCATGAGACAACAGTGTATTGTTTCCGTCATCCGGAAGGCATTGTTGACGTCATTTAAATCTCATTGTGACATGAGGTCGGAATGACTTCATACTAGAAACGACATCATAGCTGAAGATTGTTGACGTCATTCGACAAATCGTGATTTCGCTGCTGTTGCGGCTTGTATGACATGACATGAACACGAATATAATATCCTCTATATACCTACTCACCTGCAAATATACATCCCGCAGACCACATGTCGATTGATGTTGAGTACATCTTGGCCCCAAACAGTACATCAGGAGGTCGGTACCACAACGTAACAACCTGGGGTTAAACAATCAGTGAATTAGTTCCAACAAGTCAGGGGTAGATTTAACAACACATTTGTATGTAGCCAGCAGGGCAAGTTGCTCCTTTCACATTACTGACCCTTCTCCAAACTAACTGGCTCAAAACAAACTCTTGGAGGCCTGGCTGAGTTACCCCATGTTACCCAGGGAGCTCCGAAAATTTTAAAACTACTCAACCCCAAAATGTCATTTTCTGCAGTCTGAGATTAAATCTTGGCTTCCATTTGCCTCATTTTGTGGCGATTTTATGAGCAATAAAGATGTTGTTGTACATTACAAAATGGCTTCTGGTTCTTTCATTCATTGATCTTTGAGTTTACCATTCATATGACCTCATCCCCCCTAAATATTTTCTTATCAAAATCTCAATCTCACCATTTTATGTTTCAGCTACCTGAAGTGATTACAGGTGAGGTGAAATGGGGTATAATGCTGTGTTTAAGATTATCGCATTGATACAGCAAAGTGTATGTGTCTGCTGCCACTAGTCAGGAATAACGCAGGTTTTATGGTGCTTACCCACTGATATACCATGCTGCAGTTAAATATAGATACCTCACTCAGACACAGTATACTGACTCCCAGCCGACCAGTCCTGTAAATAACTTAATCTGGCCCAGATAATCCAGAGATTGACATCATGAGCATTGATCAATGCATCTGGGATACGACGACATGCATCAACCAAGTCACTGAGCCTAAACACCCGATCTTGCTAATCATCCTGTACGAGAAGACCAATTTTAACCAGATTATCTCTAGGTCTAAGACAAGCAATATCTCATGATGGAGCTAGTACTGGATGCTGAAGATAGGTCCTACCTCTGCAGAGTAGAACCGAACTGGAATTCCAAAAGCTCTTGCTAAACCAAAATCTGCCAACTTCAGCTCACCATTCTGAAACAAACAGGTACACATCCAGGTAAACATCCAGGTAAATACCAACAGTGTGGTACAAGGAAAAAGATAGACAACCTGTATTTATATAAAAAAAACTGAAAAACAACTTGATTCAAATTTTGATTCAGTGCTAAATGAGTCAGTTTGTTCCAGAAAATAGAACTGTGGACAGACTTATTAATTTTAAAATATTGATAACATTTTTGGTGAGGCATTCATGATGTTTGTTTTTGTTTTTTTGTTTGACACTGAACTCAGCAATATTCCAGCTATATTATGGCGGTCTGTAAATAATCGAGTCTCTACCAGACAATCCAGTGATTGACATCATGGGCATTGATCCACCCAATTGGAATACGATGACTTACATCAACCAAGTCAGCGAACCTGACCACCCGATCCCGTAAGTCACCGGTTAAAACAAGCATAGTCGCCTTTTACGGCAAGCATGGGTTGCTGAAGACCTGTTCTACCCCAGATTTTCACAGAACTAGTAAGCTTTTAACAGTATTACAGTTATATCACGGCATGTCAGCTTAATGTGGGAGGAAAGCCCAAAGTGATGCAGGTATCAGACGTTTACCACTTCGGTGAAACCCACGAGGATGGGTATGGTGCAGACAAACCTAGAAACATAATCGGATGAACCGGGATTCGAACCCACAATCATAGGTTTCTGGCGTGCCCAAGGGACGCAACTCTGCACAGCGAATCACGGCGCCTTAGACTACTGGGCCACCCGTGCCCCCTTCACAGAACTAGGCATTCATGATAACAGAGTACTATGGTAATTATGTGTGACAGAGCTGAGTATCAGCACCCTTTCTGCTGACAAGGTGGGTGTAGCTAGTTTCTTCACCTTGTTAATGAGCAGGTTCTGTGGTTTGAGATCTCGATGAAGGACATTGTTGCTGTGACAGAAAGCCAGGCCTCGCAGCAGCTGGTACATGAACGACTGAAAACAGACAACGACACAATAACCAACTTCATTAAACTAGACGTAAATAAATAAAGCACCAATAAATATCCACATATGTTTATTAATACCATTATCATACCTCCATGTCAGAATGATGAGATCTGATTGGTTCACATGATCTTGATAAGATACTGTGTAGCCCGCTTGGGAGGGAATAAATTTCTGAAAATAAATTCCTTATACCCCGCCACAAAGGAAAAGATTTAAAAGATGAAAAGACATGTCTACAAAGCCAGGCAGCGGTAAAGGACTTTCATACGAAGGTGTACCAGTCTCTGATTGGACCATCCATATGTGTGATAGTCCAGTCCTATTTAGAACAGGAAAGTGGGCTTGATGTGGCAAGGATGGAAACAAGACTTTGATAAAAAAGCTAGTGGATGCTCTTGCCTCGGGACGATGCCACTGATAGTGCCCAGAGGAACCATGAGTTTGGATTGCTGAATGGTGTATTTTACAAAACGATATTGCATGAAAACCTTTCACTGCCTCTCAGTATGTAGCATTACACAAATTTCTCAGTCACTTCAAGACTTGATTGTCAGGGTGTTAACTGGTCAGTGTGGGCTCCTCAGGGATTTATGTCGACCTGCTAAGATGATATTCTGCACCAAGGCTGCAGCAAGTGTCATGAAAATTTTTCAAATTGTTAAAATTCATGTCATCAAAGTTATAACTCATGGTATGGTTTGGTCAAGGTGACTTGCATTCAGTGACAGCAGGACCATCTTCCCGAGGCAAGAGTGTAAACTGACTTTTCAAGTCCAGTTTCAACCCTTGCCGAACTAGCCTGGAATTCCTGGGCTCGATCATAGTGCCACCAGTGGCTATTACGAGCTATGTCCATTCTATGCATCTCCCATATGTACCAATCAGATTCCACCTCTCGTATCATATGCATTTGTTTCAAACAAAATGGTGGCGCCCAGTCAAGACGATATGATCAACCATCAAGATCTATTTTGTGATAAAACGGTTCTTACTTCGCGAAGTACATCAAATCACATGAAAAGATTAGGAAAATATCTGTTGACAACGAGTTGGCGATGCACATGCTTTGCAAATCCTGCAATCGACCGAACTCTGCATGACAGTTTACGAACCGGATTTCGATTCCGGTGCGTGATTTTGATTGGACTATGCAAAGACTCATTAGTCTAGCCAAAATGTAACTCCATAATCCCAGCCTAGTTCGGCAAGGGTGGAAACTGGTCTTTCATAGTCAGTTAACTCTCTTGCCTCCGGAAGATGCAGCAGGACCAACAAAAAGGAAAAGTGTAAGGGCTGGGACAAGTCCAAACTTACGACCCGGGTACTCGACCCCCTACTACCCGACCCAACCCAGATACCCAATGTATGTCTCAAGAGTTGGCTACATAATGTCTGATTGGGAATTGTTTTACTGGAGCCCTGGCAAATGCTATTTACGTACACATATAAAGTGATCAGATCATGCATACACTGAAGTCGACTGATGTCATATCTTTACTTAAACGTATAAAAGTCAGAAACAATGTGTGCACAGTCAGAAAGAAATGCAAACATAAGCAACTATATGTCACGTGTCTAAACACAGGTCCGGGCAGTCCTGTGGGTACAGCGTCCTACTCAGGACCCATCCGACCGGAGTACCCGAGTTACTCGTCCCCACCTTAAAATATGTTAATGTTAGTTACACATTCTAGCAATGAATAAAAAAAAATCGAAATTTTTAACACAATTTCGAAACTATTCTCAAAATGCCTGCAAAGTAGGGATGGGTACTGGATGTTTAAAGTATATACACAATATTTTTACTATTCACAAGGCTGTATTGCGATACATATCACAATATATTGTATAATTCAAAATTTTGAATTCAGAAGTAATTTAAAACATCAATGCAGGAATTGAAGTTCATAAATGGAACAAAACAAGATGCTGGAACAGCATAATGTTTATTACTCTTTCAATAAATACACACGGATGCACACTACGGGACAGTGATGACTTGGTGTTACACCACTGCCACAGAAGAACTCCATTTTGAAATTACGGAAACATTTCGAAGATACATGTATTTGGCAAGTGTATAACATTAACCACATGATAAAAATTGGTATTTTAAATCAACCGATATACAGAGCATTTAAACATGATATTGTGATACTTATCGTGGAAAGAATGAACCTCAATTTACCAATATACCGGTAATATCCTCATCCTTACTGCTAAGGACACTTAATTTGGAATCTGATAATAAATCCTAAATAAATGGCTGTACCTTGACTGTGTCAGGATCGATCTCCCCGTTACAGCTGTCGAAGTATTTCTTCAGGTCCTGGTCACAGTACTCGAAAACCAGCGTCAACTTCTTCTCGCTGTGCAGCACATCATGTAATCTGTAACGCACATGTGACACCTTACTGTTCACTGCTGTGTCAAATACATCCAGTATTGTGAACAGGATCTCTGATAAGGGAGTGAGTGAGTTGGGTTGAACGCCACTTTTAACAGTATTACAGTTATATCGCAGCGTGTCAGCTTAATGTAGGAGGAAAGCCTGAAGTGATGCAGGTCTGATGTTTACCACTTCGGTGAAACCCACGAGCACAGGTATGGTGCTGACAAACCTGGAAACATAATCAGGGCGAACCAGGATTCAAACCCACAATCATAGGTTTCTGGCGTGCCCAAGGGACGCCACTCTGCACCGCGAATAGCGGCGCCTTAGACAACTGGGCCACCCGTGCCCCATCTGTGATTAACAACTCCCCCATGTATATATCCAGATTAGAATTGGTCTTTAGCAACCTATGTTTGTTGTAAGAGGCGACTAACAGGATCGGGTGGTCAGGCTTGCTGACTTGTTCGATGCATGTCATCATATCCCAATTGCATGGATCGATGCTCATGATGTCAATCACTGGCCTGTCTGGTGCAGACTAGATTATTTACAGACCACGTCATGTTGATTGAATATTGCTGAGTGCAGCGTTAAACAACAAACTTGACTCATGGTAAGTGGAGAAGGTGTCAACAAGCTTGAAGGCAAATGACAAGACAAAGGCTGTAGGCCTATCGGTGCGCATTGGGTTGTGTCGGCCTTTGACAAAGTGTTTAATGGGTGGCGTCAGTCTGGACTGCTGGAGTGGTCAATGATGCCTAGTTTGACACAAGAGGGTAGAACTCTTGACCACAGCAGTGATAACTCACCGGATGCCTAGTGTGTAATTCCTATTCTTTGAATGACATTGTTATATACTTGTTACAACTGCTGCTCAATAAACCGTGTTTTTGTTTATATTCAAGTTGGTATTTCCGCTATCCTAAATGTGCAGTAAGACTGTCTTATTGTTGATAGTCATTTTGGAGCCATAAATGCGAAGTTTCATGAATGCAAACAAAGACCGCTTGCATTTTTCGCATTTAATTCACGCTCATGTTAATTTCAAGGTTTAAAGTAGTTTAGAAATGGATTAATGACTTCTTGAACAGTGGGGACAGTCTATGTGCAACCCACCTGACAATGTTCTTGTGCTTCAATTCTTTCAACAGGCAGATTTCCCGCAAAGCAGAGCTTGGAACACCCTGGGCAGAAAAAACAACAACACATGGTACAAGTCAACACGTTTTCTAGAGCTCAATTGATTATAAAACGACTGTATTTACTTCACATCTATTCATAATGTAGCTTATTTCTTATTTTTGCACAAATAACCTCTTTCATATACACAGTATGTGATCTGGTATTGCTTACCTTGGAACTGAACCAATGTCATACAAGATAGAATGGTAATGGAGAGATAACTAACTGATCTTCATAGACTAACCTCATCATCATCATCAAGACGCACTCTCTTCAGGGCAACTATTTCATGCGTCTCTCTGTTCTTTGCCTTGAAAACAGTTCCATATGTCCCTGAAAAAGAGAAAAGCAATTAGTGGGATTTTTTACTCTAACTGTCATGAATCAGGAGTGAGACAAAAGCTCATAACAGAAAATATAAAATATTAAACCATAACTGTTTACAAATATGACAGTTTCATGAAAGTGATGTTACATATTCCATCCATTTAATGCTGGAGAGAACACATCCATCCATCCATCCATCCATCCATGTGGTTTGGGTGCTAAGGCCTGGGTTTGTTTATTGCATGATGCACCATGATGCAACTGTGTGTTTTTTAGCTCATCTTCTCGAGGCAAGGGAGTTAACTGACTATACAAGTATTGTTTCCACCCTTGCCGAACTAGGCTGGAATTAGGGAGTTAAATTTTGTCTGGACTAACGAGTCTATGCACATGATGCATAGTTCAATCAAAATCGTGTAATGAAATCGACATCCGGTTTGTAAACTGGCATGCAGAGTTCAGTCGATGGCAGGATTTGCAAAGCGTGTGCACCGACAACAGATATTTCCAAATCTTTTCATGTTTTTAATCAAGGTGCTCACATGATTTGATGCACTTTGTGCGGTAAGAACTGTTTGTTGCAAAAAAGATCTTGATCATCGATCAGATCATCTTCACTTGGTAAACACTATTTTACTTTAAGCAATGTAAGTGATATGAGTGATTGAATCTGGTTGGTCAATAGGAGGGAGAGACATAACTCATAATAGCCACTGGTGGAGCTACGATCAAGCCCAGAAATTCCAGCCTACTTTGGCAAGGGTGGATACAGTACTTTTACAGTCAATTAACTCCCTTGACACGATAAGATGGGACTTAGCTAAGTCAGTCAAACGTTGCAAGATTAAGTCTGACAAACAAACATAAACTCTAATCATATCATATTTCATATTTTTTTCACACTGCCACTATATACATGATATATGTATTACATTCAAGAGGAGGTAATTCACAAGCCTACATAGGAATCGAGGGAATGTATCTTCCTGGGTAAATATGAAATGAAAAGTTTGAAATAATGTCTTATGTTGGTCATTAACAAGAAGTTATGGCATGTCTAACATGTACAGAAACTGATAACTCAAGGAAAATATTTCTAACAATATTTGTAATCACACATCAAAGTTTTAACACTCAACTGCAATCTCAGTCATAGAATAAATCGAATACAGTAAACTACGGTTATAACGAACTCAAAGGGACTACTATTTTTAGTTCGTTATAACCGTAGTTCGTTATAAGCATATATAAAGCATAACCACAGCAAATAGTCGGGACTAAAAAGTAAGTTCGTTATATCCGTCAGTTCGTTATAAGCGTATTCGTTATAACCGTAGTTTACTGTAGTAGAGATGAGATTAATGATATGTAACATACAAGCATGGGCAGGTTTTCGTGTATCGTAACTTCTGACAAAACAGACTATGGGCTCGGCTTGTCGGCATATTAAGGATTTCCTGACAGATCCTTCGAAGGCAACACTGTGTCTAAAACTTCAGCACTAAATGATTTTCAGGGACCGCTATGTATATTGTATGACCCTGTGTTGATCTGCCGGTGTCTAAACTTCTATTTTGACGTCTGACTTCAACAACTGAATCAGCTTCGACCCAAATCTGGATCTGCTGCTGCACAAAGAACGGTCGTTTTGAAAAACTGTTTAATTTTCAGTTCATGTCCAGCGATATAAATAAATGAGGTAGCATACCTTCTCCGATTTTCTCGAGTTTTTCATATTTTTGCATTGTTTTGACGGCGACTTGACACTTTCGTGAGAATTCCGGAAGCAACAAACCGGAACTAGCAATTTACAAAACATAAATTCAGTGCTAAGATAGGCCAGGAGCAGTTCGCCCATATCTATCATCTTTGAAAGAAAGGTAAACATTCCGTTAATATCTTAAAGAGTATAAATGATATTAAGGTTTATAAAATAAAAATAAAATTAATTTATGACCTTAAAGAAATGTGAATGTGTCCGGATCCGAATGATATCTCCATGTCGAATTTTGTTTTTTGAAAGAATTACCTCCCTTGGTGTTTACAAAACATGGCTTCCAAAACAACAAGAAAGCAGTAGGGCGATTTTAAAAATTGAAAACCTGCATCATGACAGAGTAAAGATATAGAAGAGGATATTGTCAAATGGCTTCTCTACATTTAGGTATACATTACACATTGACTTGTTAGCTGAAGAAATATCTTTCTCCAAGTCGAAGTCCCTCAGTTCTTTTTCGTTACTAGGATTGATTGATAATATAATATCATATGTGGCAGGGTCAAGTATTTATCAATATCATTTAACTGAGATCAGTTTTTATTAGTTTGTATGACCTTGTTGCATTTAGTGTATCGATACCTTTTTTAAATACTATTTGCTAATGAAGCAGTAAGAAGCTCATCTTATTGAATTAGGTAAACATTACTTAGAAAATGTAAAATATTAGTTATGTTTTATACATATACATTTTATACCTTCAACATTTTAAACCATTATGTAGCACTGTAACATTAAACTTCCTCTCAGTTTAACATGTTTAACCTCTACAAATTGCTAGATTGCATGTTTTTGGATTACAGCAATCTTTGCCCCAGCCTGACTTGACTAATCCTACTATTTCTGATAGCCTGACCACAATTTGGGTTTCTTATATTTGTATAACTCACATCTCCTCTAAATGCAGGGTTGAACTTACAGTAAATGTACACTAGGATCAGGATGATACATGAACATGATGAATCACAGTGTATCAAACTATTGATATATAGCTCACAATTCACTGTTCATGCTATATGGTAGGCACCTAGTTGACAAATTGTTTGATAGTGAAGAAAATTAAACATTTTAAAAGTTCAGATTTCTTCAAATTTGCAGCAGCTGTCATTCAGCCGTTCTTTGGAAATGCTGAAAGGTAAGAAATAGTTCACAAATTTAATTTTCATTACTTTTCTTCCCATCCATTACAAGGGGCTTTCATGTTTAGTTGATATGTTTAGTTGATTACAAGGGGCTTTCATGTTAAGTTGATTACAAGGGCTTTCATGTTAAGTTGATTACAAGGGAATTTCACGTTAAGTTGATTACAAGGGAATTTTACGTTTAGTTGATTGCAGGGTAGTTCATGTTTCATTAACTGAGTTTAGTTTCAATTGCGAACCACCTAGTAAACTACCATGTTGCCAGCCATGGTATAATAATCTTAAGTAAAGATAAAAAAATCTTAATTTTTCCACATTTCCATTATGGATCTTTCACCATGTTTACTTTGACCATGAGTTCCAATGTTGTACTTTCAGTGTGAAGTGTGTTGTCAGTGAGCACGGTGATACCGTGTATGTCAAGGATGTCTCGCTACTACTACAACTACTGGACATAGAGGTTTGTATTTTCCTGGACACAAGGCCATTATTTGTTAAATGTATCAGTATCCTGAACGACAATCAAGATCTATATTGTGATAAAACGGGTCATACTTCACGTGAGCACCTTGATTACAAACATGAAAAGATTTGGAAAATATCTGCTGACAACGAATTGGCGGTGCACATGCTTTGTAAATCCTGCAATCAACCGAACTCTCCATGACAGTTTACGAACTGGATTTCGATTACGGTGCGCGATTTTGATTGGACTATGCATAGACTTGTTAGTCCAGCCAAAATCTAACTCCATAATACCAGCCTAGTTTGGCAAGGGTGGAAACTGGACTTTTATAGTCAGTTAACTCTCTTGCCTCGGGAAGATGATCCTCACTCGATCATTCTCTCCCTCACTCGCTCATTCCCTTCCCACTCATTCCCTTAACCACTCTCTCACTCACTCACTCACTCACCCGATACTTTTCTGTTTCAGCACCCCATTGGTCAACTGATAGTAGCTGTGTGTAAAGCTCACAGTCATCGCTTTGGATCTGAAGTGAAATCTCTCCTCACTCTACACGGTTTTCTGACAGAAGCATATCTCTCTCTGTGTGAACAGGTAATATCAGCATAGATTCTTACCATCCAGGGGCGGTTTGGTAGTCTGGTGGTTAAAGCGCGCTCGTCTTGCCAACATGGCCAAAGTATGAGGTTGCATGATTAGAAAACACGTTCCGACTGTCACTTTCATGATCTGGTAAGCGACTGTGCAACGCCTCCTCCATTCAAATGTTTATCCAGCGCAACGAGAGATAGACGATAATTTTGACGGAATCAGTCCGTAACTGTCGTTCGGAATACCCTTTGTTAATGTTTTCGAGGTTGCATGATTAGAAAACTCATTCCGACTGTCACTTTCATGATCTGGTAAGCGACGCTTTGATTACGTAATGGGATGTCCTCAGATCTTTGTTTAGCGGTAGCAAGAACTATGATCCGATTTTCATGAGATTAACTCTCTTGCCTCGGGAAGATGCACTCAATAATGAATTGTATGTTGATTTTCAGGGAATTCCGTCAGACGATGTGATTACCCTGATGAGAGAGACTCTGTCGGACTGCATGTGTAGATTGTCAGCTCTCCAGATACCACTGACCAGCCACCTGCATGCTACCCCAGCGGACTGTCCACACACAGACGACATTCATCATGACAAACTCCCAGCTAACAAATCAGACGATTTTAAAGAAGTGCTTTTTCCAGACTCTGAAAAGAGAATATACAAAGATAATGAGGTGTTTACTCAGCTGGGAAGTGATCTCATGGAATTGACAGAAACCAAGTTTGTTCAGCTTAAGATGAAGCAAGTCCAGGAGGAAGAAGATGAGGATGAGGATGATATTGGGTGGTTCTTTGAGGGGTCGATACCAAGCAAGGAAAGAATCAGTGAGGAGGCCCAAACTGGTCAAACATATCATGAAGAGAGTTTAGAAGCCCAAGATGAGTTCCGTTTGATCAGTAGGTTGTCCGATGCTGACCAGCATGATTCAGACTTTGACGACTGTTTCGATGATGGACCTTGGAAACACCAAAATGTGACTGCATGTGAACCGAGTGGGAGAGTGTTTGCTTGTGAGACTGGTAAACAAAATTCAGATTTGTCTCAAACTGAAACTTTACATGCTGAAGGAGTTGCAAATTTGAATGACAGGTACTGTGAAGGATTTAATCAAGAGGCTTCAGACACATCCGTCTTGGATTGTGATAGACTTACATCTTCTCAGAGTCAGACTGTCAGGGAAGTGATTGAGGACCCGGGATTTAATCAAGAGGCTTCAGACACATCCGTCTTGGATTGTGATAGACTTACATCTTCTCAGAGTCAGACTGTCAGGGAAGTGATTGAGGACCCGGGATTTAATCAAGAGGCTTCAGACACATCCGTCTTGGATTGTGATAGACTTACATCTTCTCAGAGTCAGACTGTCAGGGAAGTGATTGAGGACCCGGGATTTAATCAAGAGGCTTCAGACACAGCCGTCTTGGATTGTGATAGACTTACATCTTCTCAGAGTCAGACTGCCAGGGAAGTGATTGAGGAAGATTTTGATTCGTGTTTTGAAGATCGTGAATTGGAGAATAAAACATCAATAGATGCAGATGGCACTGCAGAGAGAACAGAACCAGACATCAAATCTTTGGATTTATTGTTGAAAAAAATAAAGCCAACAAAAGTTGAAAAAGCTAATGTTTTTCTTAGCAGTCGTCATTTCAAAGAGCAGGCAGTGTCCAATACCGGGAGCAATGAAGGCAAGGGTCTCGTGCACACACAGCCAAAGCCTAAACATTCTCTAATGGATGTGGGAAAAGAGGCTGATTGTAACCATGGTAACAATATGGTTCCTGAACCAAAATGTAAGGGTAACTTACAATCAGAGCTAGATAGACTGAATATGATGATAGAGACTGTGAATAAATGTCAACAGCAGTTTTCCGAGACTCAACTTGTGACTGAGTGCTCTAGAACTGTTACATCAAACAGTATAATGTCATCACCTGATGAAACAAAAATGCTAGGTTTGGGCAATCTTAAAAAATCTCAAAAACGGGTCCTGAACTCAAGTCGCTATTTCAAGACTGTAGAGTCCACACTGGAAAGTATGACATCAGAAAGCGCTAATGCTAGGTCAGGCTGGAAGGTGCACTACAAGGCGACAAGTCCTGTATCAGACAGGTACTATTTTGAACGTTGTCTCCAAGAAAAATTGTCTCAAAAGAAAAAGGAAGGGTTAAGGGACTCCTTGTCTCACAGTCGACACTTTAAGACATTCAACAATGTGAATACAACAGGGGACTATGGCCATTTCCAAGCTGGAAACAGGGGAGGTAATTCAACAGATGAAGATGACAAAACTGATGCTGTTGAGAGGAGAGACCATGAATGTTTAGTAAATTGTTCAGAACAGATGAGTAAGGGAAATGGAGAGGTCAATTCCGATGACGTAACCTTACTACATTCTACACAAAGTGTTCAAGCTGGACTGACTGTGCAACCTTCGAGACCGTCGTTTATGTTGGACACAGGGCAGGTTTTGTCCTTAGGAACTGATAGTGTTTCTGGGATGGAATTAGAATCATTCAAGCAGGCCTCAAGGGGGCTCAAGTTTGATCTGTCACTAGGTTCGAAAACATCCACAGATCACACCTCTGAAGCAGCAGTTGCTGCATCAAGACGGATGACATCGGATGCTGATCAGATACCTGGCACTGTGATTGCCCACCCACATATTGATGAGTTATCCATGACACCAGCATTCTGTGACAAGCAGGGAGGTAGTGATGGGGGATGTGGTGAGAGGACTTTATGTTCTGGTGAGACACAGTTCCCCTTGGCCTCAGACATTCCTCCTTCGGACATGTGCTGGTGTAAGGTAGCACAAGGTCTGAGCCATGGCTGCCCCGATATGATGAGGCTTGTGGTACAAGCTGCAATGATGCAGATGGAGGTGACAAGTAAACATACGTAAGTGTATTGAGGAGAATATGAACATGAGACCATTCAAGAACTTTACATTTGATCATGATTATAGCTTAATAAATGGAAAACCAAAACAAGAATGTTAGCATTTAATACCCTGCCCTGGTGATGGAGGGTCAGTGATATTGGTGTTTAGCAAAGGCAAAATCACAACATGGTGGAGGGTCAGTGATATTGGTGTTTAGCAAAGGCAAAGTCACAACATGGTGGACGGTCAGTGATATTGGGTGTTTAACCAATCTCATTAAAATCAGATCTTAGTTCTCGCTACCGCTAAACAAAGATCCGGACCTTTCATCCGACCAATCAAAGCGTAGCTTACCAGATCATGAAAGTGACAGTCAGAATGAGATTTCTAATCATGCAACCTCGAAAACGTTAATATGGGGTATTCCGAACGACAGTTACGGACTGATTCCGTCAAAATTATCATCTATCTCTCGCTTCCACGGGATAAACATTTGAACGGAGGAGGCGTTGCACAGTACGTGGGAAGTTCTGCAATACAATCTCAACAATATATTAGACATTCCGGAATGTTCGTTTGTTCAGTTTTGAAAATTTTAATCGAAAACTGTGTCAACATATTTTTCAAGCGTAGTCTGAAATGGAATTCGCCAGGTTGAAACGAGTGCCGTAAAGCTCGAGAAAGCTGCAATCTCATTGGCTGATACCGACTTCTGGTTATTCGTTTCAGTGAACGGTCAAAGTTGGCGAAAGGTCGTTCTGATCTGACCCGTAATGGAATGTCCTCAGATATTTGTTTTGCGGAAGCGAGAACTTAGATTCTGATTTTAATGAGATTGGTTGTTTAACCGAAACAAATCACAACATGGCGGGTTCGGGGCGGGGGTGGTGGCTGAGATACCAGGATAGAATTGATCCCTAGTAACTTATTCTTGTCATAAGAGGGTCATGCAGACTAGGTATCTTAGGTCACTAAAGACAGGACTGTCAAGGCTCTGTAGTGATCGTTTTAGTGAGGGAGTCAGTTTGATTTTAAGCCACTTTTAGCAATATTCCAGCAATATCACGGCAGGGGACACCAGAAATGGTCTTCACTCATTGTACCCATGTCGGGAATCGAACCCGGGTCTTCAGTGTGACGCGTGAACGCTTTAATCACAAGGCTACCTGACCGCCCCTGATCATTTTGAATTAAAAGAGAGCAGGTTAGGCTAAAAAATATATTAGTCTTGTTCCTTAGGGACTGCCCACATCATCATAAAGTTCATTGCATGTTTCAGGGTTTTTTCATTTTCAATTTTTTTTGTGCATCGTGTGTAAGTATTAGGATTTTATGTATTTTCGTAAATGGAAATAAAAACAAAACGTGCGGCAGACTTCATGATGATGCGGGTGGTAACTGACAACCAAGACTATTATTATATTTTAGTCGTACCTATCTGCATAAGTTTTATTTAACATGATCACATGTTGACTGTACTTGAAACAGGTTCCAGAATCTGGTCATACATCCTTCTATTTTCCTTTAACAATGGATAAATAACTTTTTTTTATGTTTTATCCGATTTGCAAGTATATTGTTTGTTTGTTTGTTGTTTAACACCACACTCGGCAATATTCCATCTATATGACAGCGGTCTGTAAAAAATCCAGTGATTGACATCATGAGCATCGATCCACGCAATTGGGATACGATGACATGCATCAACCAAGTCAGCAAGCCTGACCACCCGATCATGTTAGTCGCCTCTTACGCCAAACATAGTCACCTTTTACGGCAAGCATGGGTTGCTGAAGGCCTATTCTACCCCGGATCTTCACAGGTCTTTGCAAGTGTGTTTTGTTGTTTGTAGGGTGAACCTGAGGCTGCTCCACACCTGCACTGTGAGTGGAGCACCTGTCAGACACACAGGTGTTGTACCGGGCCTGGTGGCAAGGTGTGACACTCACACACTGTCACACATCATGTCACACACAGACAAACACTGGAATGTTCTGGTAGGACTTTATGCCTTTTAATCTTGATCATGTCAGACAGAAACGTTTTTTCTTGTTTGCAGGATTATCGTCAAATATGTGCGAAAGTAATTTTTCTCTGCTTAAGGATATTAATCCCATACACATTTAATCATTCAAACATTTTGTTATCTTATTACTTTTGTTGTTCTTACCTGTACATATATATATATACTCTCTGCCTCATACAGACTCGCTGACTTGGTTGATGCATGTCATTGGTTCCAATTGTGTGAATCGATGCTCATGATGTCAATCACTGGACTGCCTGGTCCAGACCCGATAATTTACAGACTGCCGTCATATAGCTGGAATATTGCTGAGTGCGACGTTAAACAACAAACCAACCAAAGCAATCTCTGCCTCCTAGCATTCATTCACCTGATGAAGGAGTAAGCATAAACGTTGTGTGCCTGATGTTAAAGTAGTTGACATCCATAAATTCTCTTCCTTATAAGGACCGCCTCCGTGGTCTAGTGGTAGAGCGTCTGACCGGAGAGCGGAAGGTCCTGGGTTCGAACCCCGGCCGAGTCATACCAAGAGACCTTAAAAGATGACGTTAACTGTTGTTACCCTGTCAGGCGCTCGGCATTAAGGGGCTAAAACAAGGACTGGTCGGCTCGGAGTCAGTATACTGTGTCTGAGTGGGGTATTCATGTTAAACTGCGGCATGGTATCTCAGTGGGCTAGCACTATAAATCGGCATCAGTCCGGACTAGTACAAACAGCCACAAACACACACACATACATGCACGTCGCTATATAAGTGCAATAATCTTGGACGTAACATTTAACCCAATTTCACCTCACCTCACCTCTTCCTTATAAAATTGCTTAATGAAAAAGTTTAATGAAATTAGTTTGGTTAGGGTCACATAATTCTCCCTACAAGTGCTTCACATGAAAAGTGACAAGTGTTGTGTTGTTTTGTATTGTGATCTTACCAGCATGACCAGTAACATGCGCGTTCTATGAGTTCTAAACGTGAAAAACAGTTTGCACACTGTAAATCCATATACCGGTAGTTATACCTCAATAAATAAAAAATATATAAAAATTATTAATACATGTATAAGTAATTCCTAAGAGAACTGGAATAGAAAGCAACACCCTTTACAGACAGTTCATATTTGTAAAGGGCACGGGCTGTGCCGCAATTCGGTGTTCACACCTGTTGCCTTTGAGCATGCCAGAAACTGTGAATGTGGGTTTGAATCCCAAATCGTTTGCCTCGATTATGTTTCTAGGTTTGTCAGCACCATACCCGTGCTCATGGGTTTCACCAAAGTGGTAAACGTCTGAGACCTGCAAAGCTGACATGCTGTGATATAACTGGAATACTGTTCAAAACAGCATTACGTCCAGCTCATTTATATGAGGATATAAAGGATATATGTATTTATATGAGGATATGAAGGTTATATGTATTTATATGAGGATATAAAGGATATATGTATTTATATGAGGATATAAAGGATATATGTATTTATATGAGGATATAAAGAGCCCATATCTGTCTGTCAACAGCTGTTGAATGGGGACTTGAGTTGCAAGTTCCATCACAAGGGGTACAAGGATGCAGTGAAGGGGAGCTGTGTGAGTGGTGTGGAGTCTGTGGGACATCTCAGTAGGCAGGACAACTGGCTACAGCACTGTGTGGAGAGACTAACAGAGGTGTGTACAAGGAAGCCGTATTTCATTATGCTCCTGACAAATCAACCACACTGTTTCAACAACAACAAAGTTTTTAAAGGATGATATTTGGCCTGTTTAGATATCTATTTTTTATCACCAAGAAGTGTATTTCCTGTACCTGACGCATTCTCTTTCCACTGTCCTGACACAATGTATCTCCTCAGTCCTGACACAATGTATCTCCTCAGTCCTGACACAATGTATCTCCTCTATCAGACACATTGTATCTCCTTGGTCTGACACAATGTATCTCCTCAGTCCTGACACAATGTATCTCCTCAGTCCTGACACAATGTATCTCCTCTATCAGACACATTGTATCTCCTTGGTCTGACACAATATATCTCCTCTGTCCTGACACAATATATCTCCTCTGTCCTGACACAATATATCTCCCCTGTCCTGACACAATATATCTCCCCTGTCCTGACACAATGTATCTCCTCTATCAGACACATTGTATCTCCTTGGTCTGACACAATGTATCTCCTCTGTCTCTAACACAATATGTCTCCCCTGTCCTGACACAATATATCTCCCCTGTCCTGACACAATATATCTCCCCTGTCCTGACACAATATATCTCCCCTGTCCTGACACAATGTATCTCCTCTATCAGACACATTGTATCTCCTTGGTCTGATACATTGTATCTCCTCTCTGACACTATGTATCTCCTCTGTCTCTAACACAATATACCTCCTGGGTCTGACACAATGTATCTCCCCTGTCCTGACACAATATATCTCCTCTGTCCTGACACAATGTATCTCCTCTGTCCTGACACAATGTATCTCCTCTGTCCTGACACAATGTATCTCCTCTATCCTGACACAATGTATCTCCTCTGTCCTGACACAATGTATCCCCTCTATCAGACACATTGTATCTCCTTGGTCTGACACAATGTATCTCCTCTGTCTCTAACACAATATGTCTCCCCTGTCCTGACACAATGTATCTCCTCTATCAGACACATTGTATCTCCTTGGTCTGACACAATGTATCTCTTCTGTCCTGACACAATATGTCTCCTCTGTCCTGACACAATATATCTCCTCTGTCCTGACACAATATATCTCCTCTGTCCCGACACAATGTATCTCCCCTGTCCTGACACTATATATCTCCCCTGTCCTGACACAATGTATCTCCTCTATCAGACATGTTGTATCTCCTTGGTCTAACACAATGTATCTCCTCTGTCCTGACACAATATGTCTCCTCTGTCCTGACACAATATATCTCCTCTGTCGTGACACAATATATCTCCTCTGTCCTGACACAATATATCTCCTCTGTCCTGACACAATGTGTCTCCTCTGTCCTGACACAATGGATCTCCTCTGTCTTGACACAATTTATCTCCCCTGTCCTGACACAATATATCTCCTCTGTCCTGACACAATATATCTCCTCTGTCTCTAACACAATATATCTCCTCTCTGACACAATGTATCTCCTTGGTCTGACACAACGTATCTCCTCTGTCCTGACACAATGTATCTCCTCTGTCTCTAACACAATATATCTCCTCTGTCCTGACACAGTATATCTCATCTGTCTCTAACACAATATATCTCCTCTCTGACACAATGTATTTCCTCTGTCCTGACACAATGTATCTCCTCTGTCCCGACACAATGTATCTCCTCTGTCCTGACAAAATGTATCTCCTCTGTCTCTAACACAATATATCTCCTCTCTGACACAATGTATCGCCTCTGTCCCGACACACTGTATCTCCTGTCTCTAACACAATATATCTCCTCTCTCCTGACACAATATATCTCCTCTCTCCTGACACAATATATCTCCTCTGTCCTGACACAATGTATCTCCTCTGTCTCTAACACAATATATCTCCTCTCTGACACAATGTATCGCCTCTGTCCCGACACACTGTATCTCCTCTGTCTCTAACACAATATATCTCCTCTCTGACACAATGTATCGCCTCTGTCCCGACACACTGTATCTCCTCTGTCTCTAACACAAAATATCTCCTCTCTGACACAATGTATCGTCTCTGTCCCGACACACTGTATCTCCTCTGTCTCTAACACAATATATCTCCTCTCTCCTGACACAATATATCTCCTCTCTCCTGACACAATGTATCGCCTCTGTCCCGACACACTGTATCTCCTCTGTCCTGACACAATGTATCTCCCCTCTCCTGACACAATATATCTCCTGTCTCTAACACAATATATCTTCTCTTTGACACAATGTATCTCCTCTCTAACACAATGTATCTTCTGTGTTTCAGCTGTCAGTTGATCTAGTCCTGGTGAAGGGTGAGGTTGATGAGAGAGTGAGGGACGAGCTGACCGCTAGTGGTGTGGTCACTGTTCACAGTACGCCCTTCAGACTGCTGGAAGCCCTGCGAGAGGTGACCGGCACTGAGCTGTGTGTGTATGTCACAGATGCCAGCAAGGTAGAACCAGTAAACAACGCTCACTACAAACTATGTATTTGCTTATCATAACTAAACATTAGTTGTTACTTGTATAGTCATGGGTTCAATATTCTCTCTTATTAATCCCTCACAGTGAGATTGACCAATCACAGAGCAGAACTACTGACCCCACATGAGCCCCATCAGTAAAAATCCAAGATGGTTGCTATTGACCATTGACAGTATACCGTCAGTAACCGCCATCTTGGATTTTCCAACACCCACCTCACATATTTCACATGAAAATCTGGTACCGAAATTCGTTATTTGACACTGTTTCGTGTTTTACTATCATTAATTGTGATGTGCAAGGACATTAATCTGTGTTTTAGATCAGGTTCGTGACTATATTGATAAAGATTATAGTTAAGATTGTCAACAAGGTTTGGCCTCTATAGTTTGAAGAGTACTCTCCCTTTGACCCTTAAGGTCAACGTAAGTGTCAAGTTTATATAGATACTAGAGAGTGTAAACTTTTCGGCACAATAAATTTGTTATGGTGTCTTTAGTTGCCGCATACGGTGTCATGTTAGGTTAGCAGAAAAATGTTGGCCGAGGCGTGAACCGAGACTAATATTTTTCTGCTAACCTAATATGACATCGTATACCGCAACTAAAGACACCATAACTAATATTGTTCACTGTTCTTTCTCTCTTGTTTGTTGCAGAGTCAATCTCATTAAAATCAGATCTTAGTTCTCGCTACCGCTAAACAAAGATCTGAGGACATCCCATTACGGGTCACGTCAGACCGATCTTGCGCGAACTCTGACCGACCAATGGAATGACCAATCAGAAGGCAGCTTTCTCGTGCTTTACGTCACAAATTTCAAATTGGCAACTACGCTTCGAAACATATTTTGACAAATTCTCGATTACAAATTTGAAACCTGAACAAAAAAACATTCTGGAATAGCTAATAGATGGTCTAGATTGTATGGATTCAGTCGTTAAACCCGTAACTATCGTTCGGAATACCCCATGTTAAAGTTTTCGAGATTGCATTGATTAGAAATCACATTCAGACTGACTGTCACTTTCATAATCTGGTAAGCGACGCACTGATTGGTCGGATGAAAGGTCGTTCTGACGTGACCCCTAATGGGATGTCCTCAGATATTTGTTTAGCTATAGCGAGAACTAAGGTCTGATTTTAATGAGATTGTTGCAGAGTTTGTTTGTTTGTTGCAGAGTTTGTTTGTTTGTCGCAGAGTTTGTTTGTTTGTTGCAGAGTCATGTATGCGAGAACCTACATGTCCGGCCATACTTCCCATCCTGGTGTGACCATCTCAATAGTCACGACCCTCAATCAGCTCATGTAGTGCTAGACACTGCCATGGCAACAGCACTACAGGTAACCATGGAGACACACAATACTGTATCAATTAACATAAGGAATCATACAGGTGGACATTGATTTCTCATGAAACACCACACAGCAGCCTGTAAATAATCATGTCTGGGCCAGACAATCCAGTGACTGATATTTTGAATAACAATCCAGGCCGTCACACTGGATACAAATTCTGACCCAAAATCCAAACGAGGTCCACAATAAAGTTATGACATATTATTGCATATACCGTATTCGACGTAATAAGCGCCCACGGTGATATTTGCTGATATATTGGCTAGTGAACAATCCCAATTAGCACCCCTTCCGATTGATCAGTGTACACAAGACTTATTTATTTGCGTATAATACACACTCGTGTGTTATATGCACTCTTTATTATGGGCAATTAAAATATATCTGTCGTACATAAACATTTCAGGCTGTCAGCATAAACCACGAAATTTATCTTTCAATTCTGTTTTTTCCAAAATGATATTCTAACAAGAGCCTCCTATTTCTAATTTTGAGAGCGCCCAGGGCGCTTATTACGTCAAATACGGTATACGACATTGATTTGTGAGACTCGCTATATCGCCATGTCACAGGTAAAGTAAATACATGATGACAGTCTATCTTGGTTAATATATGAAAAGGGGCGGTCAGGTAGCCTAGTGGTTAAAGTGTTCGCTCATCACGCCGAAGACCCGAGTTCGATTCCCGGCATGGGTACAATGTGTGAAGCCCATTTCTGGTGTCCCCCGCCGTGATATTGCTGGAATATTGCTAAAAGCGGCGTAAAACCATATTCACTCACTCATTCACTAATATATGAAAATGGTGGTCTTGTTTTGAAGTGACGAGGGAGAGCCTAAATTTATGACAAAAACAACAGAAACTGTACCTTTTTTTGATTATTTAATTTTGTTTGTAAAATGAGTTTGGCATATCAAGTAATTATTTAAATACCTCATGTTGTGTTAGTAGCTTGAAATCTGATAGAGAAAAACTATACCTTGGTTGTGTTCAGTCTCCAGGTAACAGATTTAAAAACTAGGGGTGGTTGGATAGCCTAGTGGTTAAAGTGTTCGCTCGTCATGCCGAAGACCCGGGTTTGATTCCTGACATGGGTACAATGTGTGAAGCCCTTTTTTGGTGTCCCCCGCCGTGATATTGGTGGAATATTGCTAAAAGCGGCGTAGAACCATACTTACTCACTCACTACTAGCTACTATGTAGACATTATACTTCATTTCTACAGACAATCGTACTGTGTCATCAAAGTTCTCATGGCAGTGACATACAGGAACAGGAGATAGGCCTGTGTAGCCATAGGCTCGCCAACGCACTGCATGATGGGACGGTTCTGCCTGGAGGGGGAGTGTCGGAGACGTTCTGTGCAGAGTACCTCCAGAAAAGATGTGAGCGAATGCCTTTATTTATTTCCATCTTGCCGAGGCAAGGGCGTTAACCGACTATAAAAGTTCACTTTATTCCCTTGCCTGGAATTTCCAAGCCCGATCGTAGCAGCTATTACGAGTGATGTCCCTGTGTCTCTCCTATGGACCAATCAGATTCCATCACTCATATCACTTGCATTTGCTTGAAACAAAATGGCCTCACCAGTCAAGATGATCTGATAGATAATCCAATCTCATAAAACCAGACCTTAGTTCTCGCTTCCGCTAAACAAAGATCTGAGGACATCCCATTATGGGTCACGCCAGGCCGACCTTGCGCGAACTTTGACCGACCAAAGGAATGACCAATCAGAAGGCAGCTTTCTCGTGCTTTACGGCACAAAATTCAAATTGGCGACTACACTTCGAAACATATTTTGACAAATTCTCGATTACAAATTTGAAACCTGAACAAAAAACATTCTGGAATGGCTAATAGATTGTCTAGATTGTAAGGATTCAGTCGTTAAACCTGTAACTATCGTTCGAAATACACCATGTTAAAGTTTTCGAGATTGCATGACTAGAAATCACATTCCGACTGTCACTTTCATAATCTGGTAAGCGACGCACTGATTGGTCGGATGAAAGGTCGTTCTGACGTGACCCTTAATGGGATGTCTTCAGATCTTTGTTTAGCGGTAGCGAGAACTAAGGTCTGATTTTAATGAGATTGATAGATAATCAAGATTTGTATTGCACCTTGATTGAAAACGAAAAAAATTGCAAAAAATGTCTGTCAAGGCCCAGTTGGAGGTACAAATGCTTTGCAAATCCTGCAACCAACTGAAATCTGCACTTGAAATCCATGTTTACGAACAGGATGTCTACTTTCTATGCGTAAACTCGTTAGTCCAGCCATAATGTAACTCTGGACATTCAGCCAAGTTGTGCAAGTGTGGGAACTTTTATAGTCATTTAACGCCCTTGCCTCAGGCAGATAATTTATTTCAAGTATTAAGTATTAAGATAATATTTGGGGGGGGTCAGCTATCCATTGTTTCATTCAGAGGTTTCAGAGGGTATGCATGCACTAATGTTCTGAAAATATTATAAGTATGAGTAAATGAGTTGAGTTTATCGCTGCTTTGAACAGTATTCCAATCATATCACAGCATGACAGCTTGATGTGGGAGGAAAGCCCAGACTGATACGGGTCTCAGGCGTTTAACCATTTTGGTGAAACCCACCACCACAGGCATGGTGCTGACAAACTAGATTTCAAATTATGATTTTTATCATGTGTTTAATGTTATATACTTGCCAAATGTATCCAGGGACCCAAGATTGCTGCATATTTATTGAATGAGTAAACATATGTTGTACCAGCATCTTGTTTTGTTCCCTTTACGAAGTTCAATTCATACCTTAATGGTACACTTTAAATCTCCAATACCCATCCAATTCATCATCAAGGGCTAGGGAGCTCAGCACTATGGCAATTCATTATGACTGTCATATTTCATTATCGATAACCTGCCCCCAAATAATGAGCGTTGCAAACGACCCTATTTTATTTATGATGATTCATTAATTATCTGTTTTAGGTGAGATGGAAGATGTGACCTGTGACCTTGACCTTTACCGACCTGTGGTTACTGAGGCAATGGCGAATGTATTTCGCAATATGGGCCGATTGGTTACCAACAACTGTGCTGATCCCCCTTGCTCTGAGCCTCTTAATGATCACAGTGTGATGGACACAATGTCTATCAACAGCGCAGGACACACATCAATTTTGCCACATACAAATGGCTATTTAGTGCCAGACAATGAAACAAGCAAACAGTGTTCATCATTTGCTTCCAAACTGGGTGATGTTCAGAGGAACTCATGCAAGAACAGCCCTGAAAAATGCTCTCTTTCATTTGACAATTACAATTCTAAGATGGCCGCCTGGTCTGCTGCTATGGATACTGTTGCCATGGTAACCCAGACAGATGCTCACATTGTGACTGGAGAGACACCTGATGTAAATGGGAGATTTGGAGTCTTTGTGAATGGCATTACTTTATAAATAAATGAAAACGTTCATATTGTGTTTCATGTTTTCAATTTAGTTTCGGCTGTAAGTTATTTCATTAGTGATATACAGTTTTCTTAAAGTATTATATGCATTAATCTCAAGATCACATGGCATTTTGGGGCAGGGTGGTACCGTTGTCAATGGCTACACATCTCACTGCAGAGTTTTCTTCTTGAGTTGTGGCAGGATCTGCTGATTGAGTGTTGGAAGCCAAGAATCTACTTAAGGTGCAGATGTACATTATACTTTCCTTGCTACCCAGATTCAGACCAGCAAGGTACACCCTATATCTACTGACCATATTCCTTAAAGGGAAAGTCCAGCATAGCATGGCTTTCTCAGAATGTAGACCACAGGACCATGGACATGAAGATCCGGGGTAGAACAGGTCTTCAGCAACTCATGCTTGCTGTAAAAGGTGACTCTGCTTGTCCTAAGGGGCGACTAACAGGATCGGGTGGTCAGGATGCTGACTTGGTTGATCCATGTCATCGTATCCCAATAGCGTGGTTGATGCTTATGATGTCAATCACTGGATTGTCTGGTCCAGATTTGATTATTTACAAACCGCCGTCATATAGCTGGAATATTGCTGAGTGCTGCATTAAACAACAAACCAAACCTTACATGGTCGTGGTGTAAGCCATGTACGGACACCTTGGTCATCTAGGTATAATCTTCAAGGATAGAATGTCTATAAAATATATGTCGGCTTAAGGTAGTAGCGATTTCAGACCACAATGCCCAAAGAAATTCTGCCAGGACAATTAGCTGTATTTCCTTAAGAAATAAAAAGCATGATATTCAAGTTGGTGTTTTTGACGCAACCTTAAATTGTCCTAAATTGCATCTACATCTTGTTAATTTTGAATGTGGTAGGTTTTATGGACGATAGTGCTATTTAAAGGGTCCTTTTTGTTTCTTTATCAGGACTCCATTGCACAAAGCGATCGTAGCCCTATGGTTGTCTTAAGTATATGTTAAAGTATGGGAGTTATGATCACCTTAGTGCTAAGATCGCTTTGAAGAACAGGGGCCAGCTGTTTAGATTAAGATATGCCACACAGACAGGAAATGTTTTGCTGGCATGTTTTCGGACACATTATTGTCAAATATAAGGTAATAACATTCCGTCCTTAGCAGTGAATAGTACAGTGAAAAGTCGTTATTCTGGACCCTGTCTATCCGGACACGCAACCTTTAGAAACATATTATGCTGGGAATGCTTCAGATGACATTACTCCATTTGTTAATTCAGAAATGCGCCATGATTTCACCTGGAAGGTAACCAACCAGATTAACAGGGTTTCAATGTACTCATAGGGAAGGTGAGAATGCAGGTGTACAGGGAGAAAAGAATTATGCCACGTTTAACAATTTTCCAGCAGTTTATGGAGACAATCAGAAATGAACTTATATCCATGTTAAAAATAGCATGTTGGGACTTACTGTGTGACCCACGACTATAATAGGTCTTCAGCAACCCATGCTTGTCGTAAAAGGCGACTAACGGGATCGGGTGGTCAGGCTCGCTGACTTGGTTGATGCATGTCATCAATCCCAATTGCGTGGATGGATGCTCATGATATTGATCACTGGAATGTCTGATTCAGACTCGATTATTTACAGACCGCCGTCATATAGCTGGAATATTGATGAGTGCGGCGTTAAACAACAAACAAACAAACCAACCCACGACTACTAGCTTTGTTGTTTGTTTGATTGTTGTTTAACGCCTCACTCAGCAATATTCCAGCTATATAAGGGCAGCCTAAGTGTTTGGTATTATGAAAATCAGTCCGCGTAGTGACACACAATCAACAAAGCCACTATGCCTGATCACCAGTAAATGTTGCTGGGGACCTGTGATCTTACCCTGAATAATCACAGGCTTAAGTTCAGTGTTCATAACATAGTCATGTGGGGAATCGAACCTGGTTTTTCACGTGAGGAGCGGACGCTTTTCCCCACTGGGCTACCCCACTGCATAATGGCAAAAACGCCTCCGTGGTCCAATTGGGATACACGCATCAACCAAGTCAGCGTGCCTGACCACCCGGTTCCGTTATAGTTGCCCCTTACGACAAGCATGGGTTGATGGAGACCGATTCACATGTGCAGTATATTGTGTCTGAATGGGGTAGGGGCGGTCGGGTAGTCTAGTGGTTAAAGCGTTCGCTCGTCAAGCCGAAGACCCGGGTTCGATTCCCGACATGGGTACAATGTGTGAAGCCCATTTCTGGTGTCCCCCACCGTGATATTGCTGGAATAATGCTAAAAGCGGCGTAAAATCAAACTCACTCACTCTGAATGGGGTATCCATGTTAAACTACGTCGTGGTAACTCAGTGGGCTAGCACTATAAATCGGCATCAGTCCGGACTAGTACAAGCAGCCACAAAAACGGGCGACGTGCGCGCACACACACAAGCGCGCTCACAGACACGCACGCACAGGCGCGCGCGCGCACACACACACACACACACACAGTAAGCTCACCTTGTTTCACCTTTATCGAGGAATCGTTACAACCCTATATAGCATACTGTCGGAAGCGGCCTTAAACCCTATTGAATTGACTCTCTGACAAATACCGCTAACCCTGTATGTACACAGATGGCTGAGACATTATATGACCATAGACACATTGTTTAATAACATATTATGTACTTACCTTTTACCCTATCGTTATGTTCTACGTTCCCCCTAAAATCACATCTGTGCAAGAAATAACGTTGAAAAAAATTCTTCGTGGAAAGCCTTTAATGAAAATCACAAACCAAAACTGCCAGTTGAAATTTGACTGTATCGCTTAATAGAAGAGGGGCGGTTGGGTGGCCTAGTGGTTAAAGTGTCCGCTCGTCACGCCGAAAACACAGGTTCGATTTCCGACATGGGTACAATTTGTGAAGCCCATTTCTGGTGTCCCCCGCCGTAATATTGCTGGAATATTGCTAAAAGCGGCGTAAAATCAAACTCACTCACTCACTAGAAGAGGCGTCAGTGAAAAGTGTCTTAGTATATCTTCATCTTGACTCTATTAAAATGAATTCTCACCAGCTAGCTGCAATGTAGACGACCCATACCCACCAAACATGGCTAAAAATTCCCGTCAGATTCGGACCTGTTTGGTGCATCCGTACTTTATTTGGCTGACTCGCACACAAATTTGGACGCCCCGTATCATTAATGTTTTAAAGCAAGATTGCTTCGACAAGCATAGACCGTAAAAACGACAAAGAAATATATGTTCATAATCATTTATTCAATTTTCACTATTTTCACACATTTAAACATTTTGCGCATTTTTACTTCATTGAAAACCATACATTCATCATACATTTCAAACAATCATCCATTTTACCTTTTTAACATACATTTATTATACATTTCAAACATTCATTGTTGATTTATCGAATTGACTAATTAACCAGTTAACACACTCAGTGTCAGACACAAGCTGTGATCTGTGGCAGGTTCAAGTATTTTATACATATGTACATAACTTTTAGTTAAGAGTTAGTAGTTAGGTTGTATGACCTTGTTACCATTTTAACTAATTAGTTTATTACGATACTTACTTTATAACATTATATTATTAGTAATAATATTAGTTATGTTTTATACTTTAGTATTTTATACCTTACATATTCATTCAATAGCTCTGTCACATTAAGTGAGCTGACTCTCCACTAATTGTCACACTGCATGCTTTTGACTTACAGCACTCTTTTCCCAAGCTCCCCGGCCCAGTCTATTGTCTCGTTGATTGGCCAAGCTGACCATAGCCACAACAATTTTAAAAATCAGTTGCTACTTTCACCTCACAAGGAAAGACAGGTCTTATACTCGGATGGTGAGGTGAGGTGAGTTGAAATGGGGTTTAACGTCGCGTTCAAAATTATTGCATTTATATAGCGACGTGCATGCACGTGTGTGTGTGTGTGGCTGCTTGTACTAGTCCGGACTGATGCCGATTTATAGTGCTAGCTCACAGAGATACCATGCCGCAGTTTCACAGACAGACAGACAGACAGACAGACAATAGTTTATTAACGTCTCACTCCTGTACATACATAAAAAATCTTTATACAACCTGACATAGATAAAATGTACAGAACCATTCAACAGAATTATGAGAGACGAATTATCACAGAATTTATACATAAATGATATAAAGATGATATAGTAAAAAGTTATCCATATAAAAGATGTTTTCTACGATTAAGAATTAAAAAGCAGACTTTGGCAAGTATAAAACACACACTGGAGTCACTAAAAATAAAACAAAGTTTGTCGATTTCAGGTATATCTAAAAAAATTATAAGATTTAGCAATACATTCATTAAAAAGAGTTGCCCTGATATCATCATATAATGCGCAGTGAAACAAAACATGGACCTCGTCTTCTACGCTGTCATTACAGTGAAAACATTTTCTATTATTGACAGGTACACCTTCGTATCGACCGGTTTCCACTCGAATAGGAGCCACTCCACATCTAAACTTGGCTAGTGCCGATCTATAGTTTCTGGCCATCTTATTTGAAACATAGTACTCTGTCCCATATACTTGTTTGTAACATCGATACATTCTCAATTTATTAAGCCCATTTCGCTTCTCTTCCTTTCTTAACATATCACTCCAACGGGTAACATATTCATTTTTACACCATTGTTCCACCTGTGTACAAACAGAAAATGTATCAATAAAACCTGTAGCGTTTAATAGATGTCCTAAATCCATATTAGTAAACTTCTTTCTTACCCTACCATTCCAATTTTTACAACCATTTACAGCGTATCTATCAGCCCAGTTAAACACGTTTGTTTAACCTACTAGACATATTCTTAAGGCGACACCATTGTCTTGCTACACTTTTCCACTGTCTGACAACAGGCGGTATCCATCCCATGTCCCCATTTATAGCGACGTTAGGGGCGTATTTGCCGAGTCCCATATAAAATCTAATGGCTCTATGGTGTACAGCATTTATTGCTGACACATCATAATTACCCCAGATAGCCGCCCCGTAGTCAAGAACAGACCACACCATACTATCGTACAATTTGGAATAGGTTTGGAAATGCATACCGCCTATTGTCTTAACTTTGGATAACAACAGGCCCAAATCCCTATTAGCAGACTTCGCTGCTGCACGTGCCATTGCAGTAAAATCTAAGTGGTCTGTGAACAGTAGACCAAGATAATTATACTTAGCAGCAATGTCTAAAATCATATTTCCGACATTAAAAACATGCTTCGTCTGTATGACAGACGGATTTCTAAAATGGACAATTTTAGACTTTTCCTTATTGATCTCTATCTTATTTGTGCAACACCAAGTATGTAAAACATCTAACAGTAGACTGAGATCAGCTTCATTCTCAGCTAGCAATGCTAAATCATCTGCATATGCTAATGCTGCAATATTAAAATTGTCTACAGTTACACCAATATTAAGACTGTTGAGAGTATATAATAAATCATTTATGAACAAGTTAAAAAGCAAGGGAGATAACAAACACCCCTGTTTTAAGCCACGTTTTACCGTGAACCAGGAAGTAAAGAAACCATTCACTCGAACACTGCATTTAACACCCTTGTATAATGATTGCAAGGCAGGTAACATTTTGCCTCCAATACCATGGTGAGAAAGTTTATCCCATAAAATGTTTCTATTAACACAGTCGTAAGCTTTCTTAAAATCTATGAATGCAACAAATGTAGATTTCTTTTTTACTTTTCTGTTTTCTATAATTGCTGTTAGCGTTTGGACGTGATCGATAGTAGATCTTTTTTGTCTGAATCCGTTCTGTGAATCATGGAGTACGTCGTTAGCTTCTGCCCACAGTTGTAGTCTTCTGTTAAGGATACTACAATACAGTTTATAAATGGACGTAGTCAGTGTGATACCCCTGTATGAGGGGGGAGTCTCTAGGGTCCAGGGTTGAGCACTTTGGAATGGGACTAATTATGCCTTTCGACCATATTTGAGGAATCTTTCCTGTATTGAAACAATTATTAAAAATATAGAGGAGCGTTTTAGCGATAGCATCAGACTTCAGCACCTCGACGGGGATTTCGTCAAAACCTGTTGCTTTTCCTGTATGAGCCTTATGGATAGCAGTCTTTACTTCAAATAGACTTATGCTGTCGTTGAAAAGAACATGGTCATTGGCGCTCTCACCGTCACTCCTAGAAGCTAACTTCGTGTCACTGTCTCCATTTAGCAAACCGCTAAAGACATTTTTCCACCTTTCCAACACTATGTCCTTGCCCACACCCACATTCCCATCCTCCATAACTACTGCCATCGGTATTGTCTTGTGCCTCTCCTACCCTACACCTACACGTCCTATCTGTCTCCAGAACTCACCATCACGAGCCGTACATAATTCATCTAGACTGTTCACGGTCTCTTTCACATATGCACGTTTATATGGCAAGCCGTTTTCACATTTATTACGTAATTACAGATATCTTCAATTCTTTTAAAGATATCGGTATTTTATTTGAAGATATCAATAATGTTTTTAAGATATCAAAAAATAATTAAAGATATCTTAAATTCATTTCTGATATCCATAATACAATTACTGATATCTTAAAATGTTACAGTGATATCAACAAATTAGTTTGTGATATCTCTAAATGTATTTAAGATATCATTAAACAATTACCACCCTACTATACATAAATATATTAGAAATAAATTCAAGATATCTTTAAAACAATTGAAGATATCTTAAATTGTATTGCAGATATCTACAATTATCTGCATTTAAGATATCTTCAATTCCATTCAAGATATCTTCAATTCAATTCAAGATATCTTCAATTCAATTCAAGATATCTTTAAAAGAATTGAAGATATCTGTAAATCCGTAATAAATGTGAAAACGGCTTGCCATACGTTTAGCCTGTTGTACACTTTTATCAAACTTCTTACGTAAAGTCACAAAGCAGTGTTTCAGAAACTGTTTATCTGACTTAGTCCTGCATAGTCCGGGCGGGCGCTCTACCACTAGACCACGGAGGCGGTCCTCTTATACACGGGTAGATTTTATTGCCGTATTGAGTCAGTTTCTCATCATGTTCGATTTGGATATATTAGGAAATTCATTAACACTTAAGGTTTGTTGATTATGTATTTTATGATGTTGTATATATGGATGATTTCTAATTATTGCGATTAGAAATAGGATATATTGTGGATTGTACGGAAGTCGTTTAGGGCCATTCTACAAATCGATCCATGGGTTATCCCCAGAACACCCCCTGGAACTCAGTGCCCTTTACCAACCTGGACGAACACTGAGATCTGCAAACCAACTACAGCTTGCTGTTCCACCAACCAGCAGAACAACATATGGCGACAGAACCTTCCGAAAACTAACTCTATGGAATGCACTGCCCATTGATGTCATGGGATCTGAAGATGTCAACACCTTTAGATCAAAACTCAAGACCATCCTCTTCAAAAGAGCATACGACTGAGCGCTCTAGAGCAGGCAGTATATCTGGATAAGTAGCGCTATATAAATGCTTAATTTGAATTTGAATTGAATTTGTGTTTTTGTGTTTTTCTTAATTTTTATTATACAAATACGTTTTTCCATTATCTTTAAATTTCAACTTAGCATCCCGAAATTTCAACTTAGTATCTTGTAATTTCAAGAAACAAACAAACAAAACCCAAATTGCCCTAAAAGGCTTTCGTAGGGTTGCATTCTTGAGTTGATTTATTAGAAACATAATTTATCTTCTGTATATTTCTAGTTGTTGATGAACTCACAGTTCAGTGAGTTATTGTAATTGTCTGTATAAGAACATCTTCCCGAGGCAAAGGAGTTAACTGACTATAAAAGTCCAGTTTCCACGTGGAAACTGGACTTTCAAAGTCAGTTAACTCCCTTGCCTCGGGAAGATGGTATACGAAAGAATTAAACTCAAACCTAAACATATATATAAACTAATCATCATATACATTGTATATATGTTAAACCCATCTTACAGCAATGGAAAGTAAATGTGAATGTATGTCTGCATATGTTTGATATGACTGATTGATGTATCTTGTTAAGTGCAGGTGTATGAGTTTTACCATAGAATATCACTTGAATATATACAGAGTTTTCTGCATAATTATGTATTTCTTTATTATGCAGATTTGGCAGTGGCAGCTTTTGCCGTGTGCGCATTGTTCGCCGGTATTACCAGTACAGTTTTCACCTGTCGGATAGGTAATATCATCTCAGCTATTTCATAAATATTCTATATTCCATGATTTATAATACTTTTTAGAGTTACTTACAGTATGTTCATTATCACTTTATAATTATGTTAATATTTCGTATCTGTGTATATATTGATGTATTGTGCCGATATGTGTGATGTATTGTTCAATATAAAGAAGTGATATTCATTAATGACAGTGATATGTTATAAATAAAAATAGTACCTGACAGATTGTATATATTTATTTTAGATTTTATTTCATATTTGCTTATGTTGTTTCATTGTTTCAGGCTGACTACATATATTTGTTTGTTTGTTGTTTTACGCTGCACTCAGCAATATTAATATATCAGCTATTTGACGGCGGTCTGTAAATAATCGAGCCTGGACCAGACATACCAGTGATTGACATCATGAGCATCGATCCATGCAATTGGGATACGATGAAATGCATCAACCAAGTCAGCGAGCCTGACCACCGATCCCGTTATTTTAACGGTTCATTTTCCGTATTCTATTCATTTCAACTTTTGTGTTGACTGCCGCCATTTTCGAGTTCTGACAGGAAAACAAAAGTCAAACTCAAAACATGCCGCGGGAAATAATCACACTACAGCTCGGGCAATGTGGAAATCAAAGTACAGTATTGGTTTATGACTTGTCGGTGAATGTGCACATTCATTACTGTTCCGTGACATCTCTTTACGTTGATAATATTTAATTTGGAACTGCACAGAAGGCCTGTATTGTTTACGATGTGATGTTGGCCTAGGACATTATTTTTTGTGTGAACTACAGTGAAGTGGATAAAACGTTCCTTGGAACTGAAGTTTTATCCACTAATGGCAAGATAAAATGACATTAATTTTAAAGAAGTATTCGCTGAAACTGTTTTCCAAAAAGTTTTGTCAGCGTTAATACTTGTAAACACCCCACCTCCCACCCAAAGTAGTTTATCTTGGCCTACTCCATGCTTGTCATAAAAACTGGTAATGTTTGATCAGTCTGGCCCAGCATGAACTGAACAATCGATTAAACTTAATTGACACTACACAGGAAATTGAATAATTAGTAGCACTGCAGTTCTTTAGGGTATATACTTTATTGTTTGTTGTTTACACGCACTCAGCAATATTCCAGCTAAATGACGGTGGTCTATAAATAGTTTGGACCAGACAATCCAGTGACTGAAATCATGGGCATCGATCCACACAATTGTGATGCGATGACATTCATCAACCACATCAGCAAGTCTGACCACCCGATTCCGTTAGTCGCCTCTTACGACACGCATAATCGCCTTTTACAGAAAGCATGGGTTGCTGAAGACCTATTCTTACCCGGATCTTTAGGGGTTATACTTTCTGTTCCGCTACAACAAAATTACGCTAACATGCGCATGTCATTTAGATAGTTACTTACTTTGTTTTTCTCTTTCCAGTTGGAATGGAATTTTGGAAGCAGCTGTGTGCAGAACATGGGATAAGTCCAGGTATAAATATACCTAATATAAAAAAATTTGCTATTTAAAATCACCCGATCTACCAAACATTTAAAAATGATAATGTGATATGTATCGTGGAAAGAATTAACCTCAGTTAAACGATATGCCAGTAATACCGCACATGCCTAGTAACCATGGTAAGTGAGTGAGTGAGTTGGGTTTACACTTTTAACAATATTCCAGTTGTATCCCGGCGTGTCAGCTTAATGTAGGAGGGAAGCCCGAAGTGATGAGGGTCTCACACGTTTACCACTTCAGTGAAACCCACAAGCATGGGTATGGTGCTGAAAAACCTAGAAACATAATCGGGGAGAACTGGGATTTGAACCCACAATCATAGGTTTCTGGCATGCCCAAGGGACGCAACTCTGCACAGTGAATCGTGGCGCCTTATATGACTGGGCCACCCATGCCCCCATAACCATGGTAACCATAACTCATCAGTTTGGAAATTTATTAATCTGGGAGATTTCAGTGGAAAAGATGGGTTTCACTCTATTTAACTTTTATTTTTAAAAATGTAATATTTTCACATTGCATGTTTCAGAGGGTATTCTTGAGGAGTATGCCACAGAAGGAACGGACAGAAAGGATGTGTTCTTTTACCAGGTAGGATCAGTTTGGTTTTAACAGTATACCAGATGCCGGGTATTCCCTGGCCAGCATGATCTGAGGGTCACGACTGCCTGGTCAAATTGAGTTTTGGGAGTCATGATAAGTCGTGTTGAAGGAGTTCAGAGATGTACCCTGGATACTTGTCTGATATATATGTATTTATGAATGTATTCTCCATGAATATCCACATGTCACTTCAAACAAGATATATTGTGAATCAGAATGAATGATAATTTAATTATTAGCTGTATTTTGTTCATAGAAATTATTACTAGAGCCTGTGTCATACTGTTTTTGTTAAACGAGAGTTAGAATTCTTGTACTTTCCAAGGCAGAGACAGAGAGAGGCATGAATTCTTACACAAGTTTCATAAAATCAGGATGACACACATGCGAGTGTAGCAATTCCTTTATGACACATTATTTCTTAATCCTTTTGAGCTCCTGTTTATAAGTGTACAAATCATGACCACCGTCTTGCAAAACCACAATTGTCAAATGTCGTCAACAGTCTTCAGCTATGTCGTTTCTAGTTTGACATAATTCCTACTTCATTTCATAATAAGATTCACGTGACATCAACAATCTCATCCGGGTGACGTAAACAATACACAGGTGCCCAAGAAGTGATATTTGCACAAGTGCACAATTTTTTATGAGCTCAGTTATTTCTAGCCCTATGGATAACACATTTTTCTACAGCTATCATGTCAGTCAATGCTACTAATGTCAACTTTTGATTTTTCAAGTTTCCATCAATGTCAGCTATAAAGACTAATTCTTTTGGTTGACTAGTGCTTATACTGATAACGTATAGTATCATCCTTAAATATGGCAAATAACTACTAGTCCTTATGATACCTTAACTGTTTGGCAGTCTGTCAAGGGGGATTGTTGAATGTATTGCCTGAGCCTTGGACAGTTGAGATGCATTCATTGTTCATTAACCATTTCACCCCTGCTTAAAGTATTGATCAAGTTTCTCGGCACACAACTACCCATAACAGCCTGAAATCACGTGAGCACTTTGATTAAAAAACATGAAAATATTTGGAGAATATCTGTTGACGCCGGGTTGGCGGTACACATGCTTTACAAATCCTGCAGTCAACTGAGATCTGCACGGCAGTTGACGAACCAGATGTTGATTTTGTTTTGAAATTTTGATTGGACTATGGATAGACCTGTTAATCCAGCCTAAATATAACCCCATAACTCCAGTCTATTTTGGCAAGAGTGGAAACTGGACTTTTATCATGTTTATAGTCAGTTAACTCCCTTGCTTCAGGAAGATGGCCAGTCTTTTCTCGTGTATTGAAAACTGTATTGAATGTTTAGATTTTTAGGTTAATTTTCAACAATAAAATTGACAAGAAGTTGTTTTGATAAAACATTGGTCAGGGATATTGTCACGTATAAGTTCTTTGTAGGCTGATGACGAACACTACATCCCCCGGGCAGTGTTGTTGGACCTGGAGCCCAGGGTGATCAACTCAATCCTCAGCTCACCCTATGCCAAGCTGTATAACCCTGAGAACGTGTACCTGTCAAAACATGGGGGTGGTGCTGGAAACAACTGGGCCAGTGGCTACAGACAGGTAAGTTCAACCACGAAAACCCAGGCTGTGAGTTTAATCATAATTCTACCATGAATTTGGAATTTACTCGATTCTGATTGGTCAATCAGAGGCTATTAAATCACAATAAACCCCCTCTGATTGAAACAGCTGGTTTGACGGCCGCATCACCGCGGAAGCTAATATTCATAGAATAGTACTATTTTCAGTCATTGTCAGTAGGCATATTTAAATAACTATATCTACAATAACAGGTTACAAAATGCACAGATGCGGTTACTACAATATTCAAAGGATGTGTGGCAATACATTTCGTGCAGAAAAACACGACAGAAATCAACAAAGGGAATGTATTTACGTTTTGGAGACAACAGAGAGCTTGAAATTTTGGCGCTTTTCTATATACGACTGTGACGTCATATATTTTGCGTCACAATGAGCGATATGACGTCATAATGGTGATGTGAGATGTAGAGCGAAAGCCTTGCAAAGCCCTCTTTGTTTTCTTAGGGATGGCCGCCTCATGTTAGCTTACCAACTTGCCATGCTTATATGCTTTCAATGCCTGTCATATGTTCGAGTGAAGTATTACGGAGTAAACAAACTGCTTGAGTATATACAGCACCATATTTGGTTCGGTGATTCCGTAATTCAGATCGATAACCCACTCAAAACACTGAACTCAACCCATGCCGCTTCACTCAGTATATTTGCTAACACCAAAGAGTTCGCGTTTTATTTAGTCATGGTAGAATGGAGATAAACATACTGTGTTTTCAATGTAGATCTAGGTTACCTGTAGATTTAACCGCACTAAATTTAACATTTGAAACCTCACGCTGCGCGTTCGGTTCCAAATTCAATTTAGCGGGGTTAAATCTACAGGTAACCTAGCTCTACATTGAAAACACAGTATGTTTATCTCCTAAGTATGAAGTATTATTATTAAATTTATATAGAATACTAAACGAGCACCCGTGTAATACCAATTTTATGAAACCAGTGAATAGTTCTGGTAAGTGAAGAGTGAAAGCGAGTCAGATGCCAGAACTATTCCCAAGTTTCATAAAATTGGTATAACACTGGAGCTTGTATTTTATTTATTACATGCCATTTATAACCTTTTTTTTAGATTTCACTGTCGTGTATGAATAGCCAGACACCTACACGATCCACAATGTAGTTCAATTGAGTTTAACAGAATAATACTTCAAACACGTAAAACGTTGACACATTAATTTAATACCTTACAACCGCCCATCTTTAGAATTCAGGCGTCCGTTCTACAAAGTTATCGTATTGCTAAGGTTATCGTAACTCACATACTTTAACAGAAACTTACTACTGGCGTTGTGCTGCAGTACGATCACCTTGTGGAACAGGGCTCTGCACCACAAAGTTTACAATCACGTCACAATACCCAATGATGTAATTAGTGAAATTTTGTTACAAGGTCCATCGTCGAAACAATGCCATGTGACGTCAGCCTAGCAACAAGGTTGCTGGGGTCATTGAGTGTGCATAAGCTCCTCTCTGTGATCTATCATCCCCAAATGCAATGTCGTTGAATAAGCCAAGAGATGCTGAGAGCTTTCAATGGTCGTTATTGGAACTTGTTCCCGCAGTACATAAGCACACGCTTTGGTATTGCACAATGTGTAGTACAGCTGTATGTTTATTAAACAGGTGATCTCTTCACGGGGAAGTAATAAATATAGAATAATAAACGAGCTCCCGTGTAATACCAATTTTATGAAACGAGTGAATAGTTCTGGTAAGTGACTAGTGAAAACTTTCAATGATGTTATTGGAACTTGTTCCCGCAGTACATAAACACACACTTTGGTATTACACAATGTACAGCTGTATGTTTATTTAACAGGCAACTAATAAATAATGGCCAACTTATCTGGAACTCCATAGCTACACTAAAAGTCACTGGTGTTAGCATTTGTTTCTCAGTCACTGGATTGTCTAGTCCAGACTCCATTATTTACCGACCGCCATCATAATAGCTGGAATATTGCTGTGTGCGGCGCTGAACAACAAACAAACTAATTAAATACAGAATGTTTTCACACACAGATACTGTCCAGAGTTCCTTGTCTACATTTCAAGACAAGATATGACTATATATAATTTATGTTCAGGCTGAAGGGCTGTATGAGGATGTGTTTGACATCATAGACAGGGAGGCAGATGGAAGTGACAGTTTGGAGGTATGGAAAATCTTCTGTTGTCAATATTGATGGAATTATTCTTGGATTTTGTGCAGACAATTTTATATCCAGTCCAGTACTGGATTTCTTTTGAGAATTTATTTTTTCCGAAACATATTAAATTCAGACACCAATGGTAACTAAATTACTAAGTGTGAATCTTGTTTATCTGTTTATTTGTTTATTAGTCCTCTTGTCAGTGGGGGCACGGGTGGCCCAGTCGTCTAAGGTGCCCTGATTCGCTGTGCAGAGTTGCGTCCTTTGGGCATGGCAGAAACCTATGATTGTGGGTTCAAATCCCGGTTTACCCCGATTATGTTATTAGGTTTGTCAGCACCATACCCATGCTCGTGGGTTTCACCGAAGTGGTAAACTTCGGGCTTTCCTTCCACATTAAGCTGACATGCCGTGATATAACTGGAATAGTGTTAAAAGCGGCGTTAAACCCAACTCACTCACTCCTAGCTATAGTGCCTCTACAAGGTGCTCAGAGAATTCCAATCTGATTGTAAACATGCCCGCCACAAATTGATCATTATGTTCAGGTGAGCATCAGAGCCTTGTCTTACTAATTTGGGTTTTTCATTTTCATAATTGCAGACCTGGGTTCGTATGTATGTATGTATGTTGGGGAACATCAAGATAAATTAACCGACGTTTGTGTCGTGATATAGATGAGTATGTTTAGAATTGTCTGAGGGCTGCGTGTCTGTTCCAGGGGTTTGTGCTGAGTCACTCTATTGCTGGTGGAACAGGGTCCGGAATGGGATCCTACCTGTTGGAGAGACTTAACGACAGGTGTGTACAGAAATAACAGTCTGAACCAACAATCCTAGAACAAACAAAAATATGTTTTCATCTTCACTTTTCAAGCAGACTTTATGCAAACTGGAAGAGATGCTGTCCTAAGTCTTAACTTACTTATACCTGTTGGAGAGACAGGTGTGTACACAAATATCAGAAATCTTAGAATCAGATCCATTGGTGACTTGGGCAGGGACGATACACCCACTGTGTGATTCGATCCATATCACGATACCTTGCTCAAGATCCGATGCATATCACGATATTTGCATGTGTTCTTATCAGTGGTGCGTAAGCCAATTTTTTTCATAGACAGTATGGCCAAATACCTGGCACACTAGCAAATTACAGTTGGCAGTGTCAGGAATGGTGCAATGTTCTTTTCACTTGTAAATAGTGTTTGGTGTAACATTTATTGAAGAATACATTTTAGGTAAGAATCGATACTTTTTACTCAGTGTGCGATTGTGATCGATACTTTTATCGAGAATTAAAATATCGTGATCCACCGATGCATCGGTGTATTGTCCCACTACTATCGTGACTTGGTTGATTGTGTGTCTTCATAATAATAATAATAATAGGCCATTTATATTGCGCATATTTCCACACCACTCAGGGGCATGCTCAAAGCGCTATTATTACCCCGGTTTCTGGATCAGTGTGCACTGAACAATCATTATCAGCTCCCTGGGGAGTATACAACCCAAGCTGCTTGTTAGGCGCTAGAAGGTTAACAACCACATTGCCATCTCATCCTACCAGGTACTCATTCACTTCTGGGTGAACAGAGGCACATTTTGAACAAAGTCACTTGCCAATGGAGACACCACATGTGTTACAGTGCGGGGCAGGAACAAAGCCCTAGAAACTCGACCTGTGAAGATCTGGGGTAGAATAGGTCTTAAGCAACCCATGCTTGTCGTAAAAGGCGACTAACGGGATTGGGTTGTCAGGCTCGCGGACTTGGTTGATGCATGTCATCGATCCCAATTGTGTGAATCGATGCTCATGATGTCAATCACTAGATTGTCTGGTCCAGACTCGATTATTTACAGACTATTGCCGAGTGCGGCGTTAAACAACAAACAAAACTCATGAGCCAAATTGCCGAAACACTGTCATAGATCTATGATGTGGATCAGTGTCCAAACCAGACTTGATTATTTACAGGATGCTGGTATATTGGTGAGTTCGGAGTTAAAACAACAAGTTTACATAGTAATAGTATTCCCAGTCATATGACATTAATTTAAAAGAGTGTTGCAGCAAGTTTTGGAAGGTAGTAAAGTGTTTACAGAATTAAAAGCCTAAATTTTCATTTCAGATTTCCCAAGAAGCTTATCCAGACGTACTCAGTGTTCCCGAATGTGGACGAGATCTCTGATGTAGTGGTTCAGCCGTACAACTCCATACTGACTCTCAAGAGGCTGACCCAGAATGCAGACTGTGTGGTATGCATGTTACTGACACTTGGCTGTACAGATCAGGCATCTTAGTGACCAGACCTTGTTTACTGACACAGAATGCAGACTGTGTGGTACGCTCACTACTGACACTTGACTGTACAGATCAGGCATCTTAGTGACCAGACCTTGTTTACTGACACAGAATGCAGACTGTGTGGTACGCTCACTACTGACACTTGACTGTACAGATCAGGCATCTTAGTGACCAGACCTTGTTTACTGACACAGAATGCAGACTGTGGTACGTTCACTACTGACACTTGACTGTACAGATCAGGCATTTTAGTAACCAGACCTTGTTTACTGACACTAAGAAGGGATATTACTGAACACAATGTCTGTGTTGATCTCCCCTTGTGAACGTCGAATAACCTAGTGACTAATGTGTTGATTTGTCATGCTAGGGAACCGTGTTCTTCAAAGTAAACCTCATCTTGAACTTGGAGATGGTAAATGCCGACCACATGTAGAGTTTGGTTGTACAACTTGATGGCCCAGTCGTCTAAAACACTGCAATTTGCTGTGCAGAGTTGTGTACCTTGGGCACACCAGGAACCTATGATTAGGCGGAATCCTGGTTCACCCGGTATTATGTTGTTCGGTTTGTCAGAATGTTGAAGACTGCATAACTTCGGGCTTTCCTCCCACATTAAGCCAACCTGCTGTTGTACAACCGGAATACTGTTCAAGGCGGCATTAAACACAATTCACTCAAACCAGTGTACATTTGAGACAATCTTCTGATAGGGTTCACAAGACGCACAAATGTGCGTCCAGTATGCACAAAAGTAGAGAACTGGACATAAGGATATTGTCATCACAGATTGTATTGCTGTGAGTATGCTATGTTTCAGAACAGGTCATTCTGTTTCGTTCCTGTGTTCCTCACACACTGCTTTACTTCGCGGATACATATCTAAAAGCATGAAAAAAGCTTGCATGTGCGCCATGTGTCGAAATTCAGTTTGGAGTTAGCATAGGCAACATCGTTCAAAACAGTAGTAGTAATCGTGATAATAATAGAAAATTGGGAATTCAGAAACTTTGTTAATGTGAATTGAAGTACAATAGTAATTGTTGTTTGTAATTGTTGCTTGAAACTAAAATGAATTAGTGGTCTTTGCCTGCCTTGTACTTGTACTATTTCTGCTGACCAGACACAGAAAAAGAATACACTGTCTCGAGGGACCCACTGTACCTACAGCACATAAAGAGCAGTTATGGGTGTCATTTCATCAATCAGTTATGGCCGCTGTCCATATGATCTTTGATTCATTCCAGGTTCTGATGAAATTATCGAAATGTACAGTACATAACACCATTTCATTACTTTGCAGGACCCTCATATTGCCTGCAAGGATCCTTATAATTTAATTATTGGGGTCCCTAGACCCCCCCCCCCCTGTTGTAAATCAAGGTAAAACCCTGTGTCATGATTGTTTTGTTGATGACTGCTGGAGATTTTAATTGTACTTCCTTGTTTGACTTCAGGTGGTGCTGGACAACACGGCTCTCAACAGGATCGCCGCCGACAGGCTTCACATAGACACCCCCTCCCTGGCACAGATCAACCAGCTGGTGAGGAGACAGGATGCCTTTGTAGTTTAGTGTTCTCAAAATGTTCTGTGTAGGAAATATCCAGTCTGTAAGTTGTCAATCATAGAGAAACAAACATCATAAACCAACAATGTGCAAGGTCTTTTGAAAGCTTTTCTTGATTGGCAATTCACCACAGAAAACATTAGCCATTAACTTCTCTTTATAAGAATCTGTGACCAATGGCGCCGAGTTATTTTCCCTGAACTACAATAGACAAGTTCAAATTCACATAATAAATATATAATTTCATTTACTTCAGGTGTCAACTGTGATGTCAACAAGTACGACAACCCTGCGTTACCCTGGTTACATGAACAATGATCTGATTGGCCTGATAGCTTCTCTCATCCCCACCCCCAGACTCCACTTCCTCATGACTGGGTACACACCCCTCACAACTGACTCACAGGTGAGGCTCTCCCCTCTCATCCTGACCCCCAGACTCCATATCCTCATGTCTGGGTACACACCCCTCACAACTGACTCACAGGTGAGGTTTAAGACAGTACCGCTACTATCTGCAAATGGTTTTTTTCCCTGAGATTTCTGTGTCATCTTTTTCTGTATGTACTTATTCGTGATGCTTTGACACACAATTTATGCAGTTGGGCTAATGGGAGCTTTGCCCTTAAGACCCTGTAGAGTTATCATTAGATTTGACAAGTTCCTAAACTGTAGCAAAAGACTGACAGTTGACTGATTTAGGTGGCCAGCGTGAGGAAGACCACGGTGCTGGATGTGATGAGACGGCTGCTGCAGCCCAAGAACATGATGGTGTCGACGCCGGTGGGAGCACATCGCCAGGCCAGCCACTGCTACATCTCTATTCTCAACATCATACAGGGGGAGGTGGACCCTACACAGGTGAGGCACATACACGGGGAGGTGGACCCCACACAGGTGAGGCACATACACGGGGAGGTGGACCCCACACAGGTGAGGCACATACAGGGGGAGGTGGACCCCACACAGGTGAGGCACATACAGGGGTGGTGGACCCCACACAGGTGAGGCACATACAGGGGGGCCCCACACAGGTGAGGCACATACAGGGGGAGGTGGACCCCACACAGGTGAGGCACATACAGGGGGAGGTGGACCCCACACAGGTGAGGCACATACAGGGGAGGTGGACCCCACACAGGTGAGGCAGATACAGGGGGACCCCACACAGGTGAGGCACATACATGGGGAGGTGGACCCCACACAGGTGAGGCACATACAGGGGGAGGTGGACCCTACACAGGTGAGGCACATACAGGGGGAGGTGGACCCCACACAGGTGAGGCACATACGTGGGGAGGTGGACCCCACACAGGTGAGGCACATACAGGGGGAGGTGGACCCTACACAGGTGAGGCACATACAGGGGGAGGTGGACCCCACCCAGGTGAGGCACATACAGGGGGAGGTGGACCCTACACAGGTGAGGCACATACACGGGGAGGTGGACCCTACACAGGTGAGGCACATACACGGGGAGGTGGACCCCACCCAGGTGAGGCACATACAGGGGGAGGTGGACCCTACCCAGGTGAGGCACATACAGGGGGAGGTGGACCCCACACAGGTGAGGCTCACACAGGGGAGGCACACACAGGGGAGGCACACACAGGGGGTACATACAGCTGGACCCTAGAGAACCAAACATATGTATATGTTGCAGCCTGATATTGCTGAAATATTACTGAAGAACAATCTAGAATTTTGGTTGATTGCAGAATGGATGAGTTATATTTACACCAAATCATTGTCAAATCATTGAAAGCACACAAGAGCCTCCGGAGGATCTGCGAGAATTGTGTTTGTTAAATGTTGAACTCACTCACACTGTCCTGTCTGATCTGCAGGTACACAAGAGCCTCCGGAGGATCTGCGAGAATTGTGTTTGTTAAATGTTGAACTCACTCACACTGTCCTGTCTGATCTGCAGGTACACAAGAGCCTCCAGAGGATCCGAGAGCGGAAGCTGGCCCAGTTCATCCCCTGGGGTCCAGCCAGCATCCAGGTGGCGCTGTCACGCAAGTCTCCCTACATCCAGACGGCCCATCGTGTCAGCGGCCTCATGATGGCCAACCACACAAGCATCTCTCATGTAGGTCCAACACTACATGGACTCCTTGTGATCTAGTTTGTCGTTTAACGCCTCACTCTGCAATATTCCAGCTATATGACAGCGATCTGTAAGTAATCGAGTCTGGACCTGACAATCCAGTGATTGACATCATGAGCATCAATCCACGCATTTGGGATACGATGACATGCATCAACCAAGTCAGTGAGCCCTCACCCGATTCCTTTAGTCGTCTCTTACGACAAGCATGGGTTGCTGATCTCCCCGGATCTTCTCTGGCTTTGTGTTCTAGTACCAACAACAGTCGTAATGATAGTCCGACAGTCATGGCCACAAGTCTGTTAGTCTGACATGGGGTTTAGTGGCCTGACGGAGTCCGAGACAACTAGAGGGTCTAGTTGTTTTCTCCTCAAATCTAGTTACTTTGCAGCTCATTTCAGACATGTTCATGTAGACTAGTTTGATTTAACCATTGGTGAACCCTGATAGTTGACTGACCAACAGAATAGTGTTTGCTTGCTGCCAAGTCATCAATGCCCATTTGATGCATATCTGGGGAAGTTCATTATGAGAGTGTTAGTTGGGAAGCAACGATACGGAAGGCACCAATATGATTCGTATCATGATATGTCGTGATATGATAGAACAGTTTATGAATACATTTTGTAATTCTAATGAAGAAACAGATACAGCAAAATGTTGGCTATGACAGGAGTTATGTACATGGTAATGGCAGCACTGTGCCATTTTCAGTTTTAAACATAAGAAAAAATAAGATGCAGTGTTTGTTTACTCACCTCATTGCTGATTTCCTCTTTCAGTTGTTCGAGAGAATCCTTCGCCAGTTTGACAAACTGAGGAAAAGAGAAGCTTTCATGGACCAGTTTAAGAAGGAGCCGATCTTCAAGGACAACTTGGATGAGTTTGATAACTCTCGAGAAGTCCTGCAGGAGCTAGTTGACGAGTACCAGGCCGCCACGCGACACGACTACCTTGACTGGGGCACACGACAGGTAGGTCTTTGATCATCATCTTTGTTTCTTCATTGGACAGGACATGACTTCTGTGACTTGTTATGACATTTGTTTGGCCCCTCTACCTATGCATTCAGAACAGTTCCTGTGACATTGAATAAGATTTAATGCAAAGTTATGTTTTTTACCAAATCTGAAACAATTTCGGTTTGCAACAGATAAAAGACTCCTGTAAGTGTTCAAATGGTTTAATTTGCCATAATGACTTCAGAAAATGTGTGATTTCATAAAAAACATGAACATGCAAAAATGTCAATTTACAAATCAATAGCGTGTGTATCCACCGCTGGTTGCGATGCAAGCAATCTTCGTCTCATGGAATGGACCAGGGGTCCTGTGGGATATCTGTCCATAGCTGCTGGAGCATGTTTCGAAGTTCCTGAAGTGTCCGTGGAACACATGGTTGACGTCGAGGGCGCCGATCGATCTCATTCCATATGTGCTCAACTGGTGAGAGATCAGGGGAAGCTAGGCGGCCAGGGGATGACATTCACGTATTCTGAGAAGAGAATCGGGCGTTGTCATGCCATGACGACTCAAAAACGGTAGAACAACAGGGCCAATGATCTCCTCGCGGTAGCACTGTCCATTGAGATTTCCCTCTACCACTATCCTCTGTCTTGCTGTAATCCCACCCCCATACCATAACGCCCCGGAACCGATCTTCTTCCATGACATAATGATTGACGTAAAGTTCACCTCGACGTCGGTACACTCGAATCTGTCCATCGCTGTGGCTGAGGTGAAAACGAGACTCTTCAGTGAATAGAACTTGTCCCCACTGCATGGCCGTCCAGCGTAGACGCTGTCTGCACCACTGTAGACGTGCTTGACGGTGGTTTCCTGTCAAATGGGATGTGTGGCGGATCTTCTAACACAATCCCTGCACATCTGAGGTGACGACGTACGGTTTGTGAAGATATTCGTCGAAGGCCAGGGATGCTTCTTGCAGTCACTGTTGCTGGCTGGAATCGATTTCGTAGGCGTGTTGTTCAAATCCAGTTGTATTGTCGATTATTGGTTACGCATGGCCTGCCACTCCAAGGATGGTCTCTGACTGCATTCGTCTGTTGCCATAAACACACCAAATGGTGTTTCTGTGGACGTTAAATTGTCATGCAACACATTGACTCGATCCTGCTTCAAGCATACCAATGGCTCGCAGACGCTCATTTTCGGACAGGCGTGGCATTTCGTAATGTTGGATAATTGCGTAATTGTTGTTTTTCTGAGTGGTTGTTGTCAGCACGATGCTAAACAATGCATATGGAATCCCGTTAACGCACATGTTTTTATACCCATTCAAGCATGGGGCTTGCATAAAAGTCAACTTTTGCATGGAACTGTAACAGTTGTGTTTTTGTGACTTGATATTGAAAACCAAACTTTTCTTGTAGGAAAAATACACTAAAATATTGGTGTCACAGGAACTTTTGTTGTTGAGTATATCAATTTGTCTTAGCAATGATGAATTACTCTCAAGGAGAATACTGTGTGGACAGTTCTGTTACCTTTGTTGTGTAATCTTGTTTACACTTGTGATCTTTATATCTATTTGTTCAATCATTATTATTAAAGTTTCCATTCTGGATGATCACTCACTCTACATGTATTGCAGGGAGCCGTTGCAGAGCAGGCATGATGGCGACACCAGGGCGGAAAACTTCCTGGTCACCGATATCTACACAAATAGTCCTCACTGTGTTCAGTTCCCCATAGAGGTACAGCGAGTGACATCCTTGTTAGGTGTCCCTTTGATATGGCTGGAATAATGCTTAAACCCAGAGCTCCAGATAAGCTTTTGGTGTTGTGGGTATTTTACCCATGCATTTTAAAATCATTGGGTATCAGTAATTCTATCTGCGTATTCAAATTTCTGTTACCCACTAGTTTTTACACGTGTGGGTATTTAAGTTAAATATTTAAAAACACTATTCATCTAGTCTCTGCAAACTGGTGTCGTGTGATGGCAAATGATCATGATGTAACTGTCATCGTGGAGTTTGGCAAGGTTGACGGAATGTCCGTTTATAATTTCAAAATAAGTTGCTGATTTGCAGGGTTACTTCACAATATTTTGATGATACGCACAAGTTTTATTTTTGTAGCGTATCTGTAATGTTCGTTGCGTATTTGATACGCTTGGATTATATTTTACTGTGTATTTCTGCACTTCTGATGTGTATTTCACGCAGATACGCAGCTTATCTGGAGCTCTGTTAAACCTCACTCATTTCCTCCACAGATCTGAGAATCAAAGGATAGGAGTCTCATATTTATACCGTGTGCTCTAGTTATGTTGACTTTATCCAGTACAGGCTGTACAGAAATGTTTGCATGCCAATTGATCAAGTTTCTCTATGTATTATATACAACAGTTTTCAGATGACATAAGTTCAGTAAAAGATATTCAGCTCAAACAGCATAACGATCACAAGCAATACACGAAAAGATCTGCAATTATACATACAATATCAACCTACTTCTGAATTTTGTCATATTGATGTGATTAGATGAGTGTGAACATGTTTCTTTGATATCACATCAAGCTGGACCCATGAAGATCCAGGTTAGAATAGGTCTTCAGCAACCCATGCATCCAACGGGATCGAGTTGTCAGGCTCGCTCACTTGATGTCATTGTGTGGATTGATGCTCATGTCTGGTTCCAGCATTAAACAACTGATGATTAAGCTGATGGCTGTGATACAATTGAAATACTCACATGTGATGGTTTTGTAGGATTTTAGACCCTGACTATTCAGACCCTTTTTTTATATGGATATTGTATGAACAAAGCTCCACTGTGATGGAATCAAATAGTACTCAACGTTTGGTAAGGACCAAAATAGTCAAAGTCCAACCAAATAGCAAATGTAAGCTACACACAAAATACATTGTTGCAAGCCATTTTAGGCTCATTGTTATTTAAAGAATCTGGTTTTGCAGATGTTGGATATATCCAATATTGAGTAGTAATTGTGGAAATATGTGAGTCCACACCGAAAACTGCTCTGTACCAGAAAGGCGATATAGACTGCAGGATTCATTTGAGTGCTGATAAATGCGGCCACGCTATTTTATTTATTGTAAGAATCATTTGAGTATACTTATATATTTATATTTATATATACTAGGTAATTCATGTTTATACTACTTCCAAAAGAAATTCAATGCAAACAAAACACATTTTATTGTTTCAATAAATTAATGTATGAAAATGGTGCCAATAAATTACCTAAATGACTTTTGTTACCTTTATTCCGGTGCCAACTTCAAAGAGATCATGTTAACACTGATTTTTGTGAATACCCTTTGTCTATGAAATCTTCAGGTTGTTCTCAGATGACCTCTTCACTGTCAACATCAGGAAATAGTGTTCAACATCTGAAAGTATATTTTGTTGCAGCCAGGTTTTCAAACTGCAATTGCCATAGTGAGACGATTTAGGTCAGAAATTATTAATTTATTTTGAAGAACAATGAAGTACACAAGCTGAAAGAAAACAAGTCAACAGAAAGATGACATATCCCCAGCTGTCTGTAAAGTAACCACAAGTAAATTTGCAATTTTGTATGTAATGAGTCGCATGTTCTTGAAGAAGCATACATTGTTTACCCACATGGTAACAATGGGGGGGATAACAATGAATGGCACTGTGGCCGTTCAGGTACTGAGGTGTTTGCCCCTCTTGCTAAGATTCTCAATCAATATTCTTTGACGCATCACAGGATGTAAATGGTACTTACACGGATAGGCACATGTCCATCGTTGCTTATGATTCACAAAGTTGTCTCTGAGTAAAAGTCAATGTCCTTCAGATTGGGATTGAAACAGTTAACTTCTCGTCAGACAGCATGAATGGTGTGCTGGATAAGAAACAGTCGAACTTTCAAACAGTTTGTTGCCGACAGAAAACACCACAAATTCGTCATAACGGAGACGTGCTGTCTGTAGAAATTCCTGCAGATCTAAGCAGAGGCGTGTCTTCTTCACCCATCACAGCGATGCGAGTATGGTTTCACGCTGCTTTTTGCAATATCACGGCCTTGAGACATCAGAAATAGGCTTCACGCGTAATACCACCCATTTGTACCTGCTTGTACTAGTCAGGACAAATTTCGGGTTGATAGTGCTAGCCCACTGAGATCCTGGCCACTTGAATCACGAAATATCGAGATAGTTTATTAACAAAGATAGCTGCATGTGTGCTAATACTTAATTAAAGTGAAAACAGCCTTTCCGCTGATAAGGAATATTACTTACATTAATGACAACTGAGTTTTGATCGCATGGTTACAATACGAGTCGGGTGACTGCGAGCGGTTATAATAGTATACCTGCACCTTTTTTCATCATTCTGTTCGTGCTGAATGTCTTTCTATCGACTTTTCAGAATATCACAGAACATGTTTAGGATAACTTATTACTTAATATCTGTACTGTCGGTGTTGATATACGCCTGCATTCGTTCCCAAGTTTTAGTTGATAAGCATTATGTGCTAAGTGTTAAGACTACATGATTGTACCGTCCGGAGAGACAAGTAAACATTACTATGATAATACGCTCCCCCACAGCTGCTATGCAATATTACTACATACTAATGTCTTCAAAACTTCGAGGTAATCTCTAAATACAGAACGGCAACATTACAGGTATTGTTTAAATAAGTGATACTTTAACATACATCATATAAATAACGGCCTATATTCGGTGTACCTCACTGATGAGATCCACCAAGTAAAGACTGGCCACTAGCAGAGGCTTCTTTTGGTTATTTGAAGGTAATTCATATATTGTATGTTATATTGCATTCTATGTTAGTTGCTTTAAATGTAATCAGCATTTTAAATGAGGCATTATTGATTTAGTACACCAGTGAATACCCCCGACAAAATATACCAAGATTTCATCCGTCCGAAAACTTTGTCCACGCGATTTCTCTTAAACTATTCAGTAGATTCATCTCAAACTTAGTACATATAATCTGTGTCATATGGAGGGGTGCAGTCAAAACAACAAAAATTGTTTTTATTAATTTTCCATTTTTTTATGAATTTTTCAAACCCTAGGCTAACCCTATCCTAGCTATTTAATTTGAAACTATTTATGCATTCATGCAGTTTTGGCCCTGAAACAATTATACCAGTATAGTAACGACCATAAATTATATCACTTATATATGAATATCACAAGTGGTCTATAATCACAAAAGTGTAGTGGTACTATGGCATCTTACAACATGTAAATTGTCATACAAATTTATAAATTAGTCACCACACTAACGGAGGTAATGAAAACTCATGACATAGGGAGGTAATTTACCGCCAAATAACACGTTTTGCCCATTCGTTACCACTCTCCTCTGTCCGTAACCTGCAAGAAGTTCTCTTCAACAAAACAACATGAATGTCATCCCCTGGCCGGCTCGCTCCCCTGATCTCTCACGAATCGAGCACATGTGGGATGAGATGGATTGGCGCCTTCGACGTCAACCACGTGTTCCACAGACACTCCAGGAACTTCGAATCATGCTCCAGCAGATATGGACAGATATCCCACAGGACTTTGTGGGACGCCTGGGCCATTCCATGAGACGAAGATGTGTTGCTCGCATCGCAACCAGAAGTGGACACACACGCTATTGATTTGTAAATTGACATTTTGGCATGTTCGTGTGGTGTTTCTTTTATGAAATCACGCATTTTCTGAATTCAGTATGGCAAATTAAGCCATTTGAACACTTACAGGAGTCTTTTATCTGTTGCAAACCGAAATTGTTTCAGATTTGGTAAAAAACATAACTTTGCATTAAATCTTATTCAATGTCACAAGAACTTTTGTTCAATATATACGTGAATCATTACTCAATGAGTTGACAATTTAAGCCCGCTTGCGCACTCAGTTGCAAACAAATGGCACGACTAATTATTCGGCTTGTCTCCGGAATAACACAAACGACGTTTTTCCCCACATAATCGCAATTGAAACAATATTTACACATATATCTAACAGACATCATTCCACAAGTAACATGACGTACAATTAGACAAATATCTTGTAATCCTCAAAGGTTACACAAAGTGTACTTAAAGATAATTGAGTGAGTGAGGTAATGCTTTACGTCACATCGGCAATATTTCAGCCATATCGTGACGAGTACTGAAAGATAAAATATATTTATACATGATAATAAACAGAGATCCAGATAAGCTGCGTATCTGCGTAAAATACGCATCAGAAATTCAGAAATACGCAGTAAAATAATATCCAAGCGTATCAAATACGCAACGAACATTACAGATACGCTACAAAAATATAACTTGTGCGTATATTCAAAATATTGTGAAGTAACCCTGCGTATTCGATTGGCAAATCAGCAACTTATTTTGAAATTATAAACGGGCATTCCGTCAACCTTGCCAAACTTCACGATGACAGTTACATCATGATCATTTGCCTTCACACTTTCTTGTGGAAGTATCGTGGTATTTATGAGTCCTATAAAGCTCTCGAACCCACACAACACCAGTTTGCAGGGACTAGATGAATAGTGTTTTTAAATATTTAACTTAATACCCACATGTGTAAAAACTAGTGGGTAACAGAAATTTGAATACCCAGATGGAATAGCTGATACGCAGTGGTTTTAAAATGCATGGGTAAAATACCCACAACACCAAAAGCTTATCTGGAGCTCTGATAACCCTTACCTATTTGTGGAATGGAGGCATGTGTTGTGAAAGCCTAGTGATAAGCGTAAGCGAGATGGGGGTCGAGGTGGAGTTGGCTTCGGTGTCGTATTCGTCCGTTGTTTCCTGTCCAGTCTCAATCTATCACTTGTCACCTGTCAGATTTGGCGGGAAAGTTGATC